AACGCTGGAAAAAGAAAAGCAAACAAAAATGATATATGCTTTGCCAAAAATAGATGTCTGTAATTACAGCCTCTTCTAATTTAATAATATTATTGAATAATAATATTGTTAATTAATATGAATTTCTTTCTCCAGTCTCACCATAAACATTTTATTAATATCGCTTTCCCTTAACTTTACAAATAAGAATGAGTAGGGTTGAGCATCAACTGCTGTTCTGTAAATTTCCAGCATTGTCTTTTTGTCTATCAGCGCTGACTGTTCTTGAATAAATGTGTCCAGTTCTGCTTGGTTTTTCAACTTGAAAATATATAAACTGCTTGTATTTAATCTAACTATAGGAGCCAGTGCGTTCAGTTTCTGTGAAGAAGTTATGACTGATAATCCGAAGTGTCTTGATTTTGTGTAAAGTCCGTGAAGAATTTTTGAATATCTCATAAAAACTCTATCTTCTGCCCAGTCGTCAATTATAAGAAGGCAACTATATAACTTGTTCATTTTATTTTTCTTCTGGTATTCTATCACTTTGTGCTGTGTGTCTATGATGTGTGCCAGACTTTCAGGGTCATACTCATCAAACAAATATTGCTCTTTTTTGTTGTCTATTTTTAGTTCTTTCTCTATATATCGGATTACTTCTTTGTATGCTTCATCTATGTGGGCTGTCGGTGATACAATGTATATTCTCTCAAAGCATCCCCTGTAGATTTTTAGAATGAGGTTCTGAATTAATATACCCTTTCCGCCCTGTGATGCCGATACAATGATGCTTCTGAATGGTAGTTTGTCTGCTTGTGGGTATGGTGATTGTTTGAATTCATACTGTTTTACATTGATAGGCTCTATTTTAGGAACATCAAGTTTTGACATAATATAAATTATTTAGAAAATAAAATATATTATATCTTGTAAATGGCATATCTTATTTTACCTTTGAGTATTGGGGTCAGGTAGAATATGGAACAGTTGCCGATACTACCCATCATAAGAATGCTAATTAAAAATAAAAAATCCACCCCTTGGGCTCTTGCTTCTTTTTCATTCCCGACACGGTCTCTTTTTGCTATGACAACAAGCAGTAGAAGATTTGAAGCCTTTTTGCTCTTGAATTTGTTTGATGCTATGTTTCAATCAGCACAGTTCATTTTCTTTGACATTTACCTACCGCCCCTTATGTTATGGATTTTTGTTTGCGCCTAAAAATCCATATATAATTAGATAGTAGTAAAATATATCATCTAATTATATAGGATGAGCAGTTGTGAAGTTTTTGATAGTTATATCAATACAATAGATGTGATTGAAGATAGTGTCATTGATGATACTAAATTTCCAATTGTAAAAGATAATAAACTTAAACAGATATTCAGGGTAATGCTGGAGTTCCTGAAGGTAATTATAAATTATCTTAAGTATTATATAAATGCCACCAAAGAAAAGCAGTAAAAGCAAAATACCAAAAAAAACAATACCTGAAGATTTTGAACTATCAGATGAAGAACCCACCACAATAAATCTGGATGAGGAGCAAAAACTAACAAGCAAATTTATTACCTTTGATTGCCCACTGTGTCATTGTAAATTACAATTGAGAAATGAAATTGAAATCAACCCCAAGGGAATAAAATGTAAGTGTAATCCGTGTTCATTCAAAATCAGTAAAAATGACAAAACAATGAATGTCAGCAGGGATGACAACGGGGATATCACATTGGACAGTGAAATCCACAGTATCTCATTCAGTTTCAATAGAATTACAACCCCGCCCAATGATGATGAAGCAAACAGAAACCAAATGATAAGTGATGTAATGGCTACGCCCAGAAGTAAAAAACAACTGTCCATAAATGATATGGATTGAAACATATTTAAAGAGTTATTTTAACACACTTTGAACTGCTAAATAAATAAATATCTAAATAATTAATATATAGTAATGAGTGATTTGGATGATAAACAACCTGAAATGGCAGAGATGCTGAACAAAATGACAAGATACAACAAGAATGTCAAAACATTGATGGACTTAATGAACAAGGCATTAGAAAAACTTGATATATTAGTGAAAAATAAACCTGCTGAAAATAATGGTGCTGATGCTGAGAAAGAAAGGATGGATAAAATCTTTGAGGCTAAAAAAATCGGCAGACCTGTAGGAACTTTTGAAACCAAGCAACACCAGTATCTGAAAATGCTGAACGAAGGCAAAATCAAAATGCCTAAGGCATCCACTTTGGAATTTTACAAGATTGAAAGGGATGGGGAAGTCTTCAAAGTGATGGGTGAATAGATGAAATTTTGATAATATTATTATCTATAATAATATTATGAAATTGTTAGAATTGTTTAGTGGCACTGGTAGTGTTGGAAGTGTAGCTAAAAATATGGGCTGGACTGTTGTGTCATTAGATTTGAAAGGGGCTGATATAAACTGCGACATACTACAATGGAAATACAAAAAATATCCAGTGAAATACTTTGACTTGTCTGGGCTTCTCCCCCCTGTATTGAATACAGTATTGCTAAAACGGTTGGAACGCGAAAAATTGATGAGGCTAATGCCATCGTTTTGAAAACGCTTGAGATAATTAACTACTTTAATCCGCGAGTATTTATAATAGAAATTCCCCAGAGCGGACTTTTGAAGAAGCAGGAGTTTATGAAAGGGCTTCCGTATTTTGATATTGACTATTGTAAGTATGGTTTTAATTACAGGAAACGCACTAGGCTCTGGACTAACTTGGGCACTTGGACACCCAGACCTCTTTGTAAAAAAGATTGCGATAGTATGGATGGAAACCGTCATAAAGAAACTGCCCAGAGGGCACCCAGTGGTAAAAAAGAGAACTGGAAAGAAGGCTATACCTTGTTCAAACAAAAGGATTTGTATAGAATACCTCAAGCATTGGTTGAAGAAATTATGACTGCTGTAAATGTTGTATGTTTTCAGTAAGATTGGGTTGTAAAGGGTTCCTACACTTGGGCTCATTGAGTAGGATTTGGGTTTCCTACTTGGTAGGATTTTCATTTCCTACTTGGAAAGGTGCTCATAAGGTAGGATAGGGGGTTCCTACTTGGGCTCATAAGGTAGGATAGGGGGTTCCTACTTGGGCTCATAAGGTAGGATACGGGGTTCCTACTTGGGCTGGATTTCGGTTCTCAACTTGGAATGGAGAGGTGCCATTCCTGAAAATGTATGGGTTCCATTCCCCAAAATGTAGGGGGTGCATTCCTACCCAAAAATGATTAAATTTCCTTCATAATCTGCCCAAAATGGAGGGACTACATTCCCCAAAATGGAGGGGTTCCATTCCCATTATCTGGGCTGGATATTCCCATTATCTGGGCTGGGTATTTCTGCTCCCTGTCCCCCCTACAGGGTGCTCCCTGTCCCCCCTACAGGGTGCTCCCTGTCCCCCCTACAGGGTGCTCCCTGTCCCCCCTACAGATTGGGTGGTTAAGAGGGATTTTAAATCATTTTGAGCCCCGACTGTTCCCCTACAGTTGCCCTGACTGTTCCCCTACAGTTGCCCTGACTGTTCCCCTACAGGGTGCTATCTGGGCTGGATATTCCCATTATCTGGGCGGGATATTTTTGATTTCTGGGCTGGATATTGACACCTAACGCCTGTGGTTAGAACTTTTGACAGACTTTGTCAAAACTTTTGACAGACCTTGTCAAAACATAAAGACCTACTGGAAATCTCAAAAAACTATGTATTGGCTTTACCATTGCTGGGGTCTGGCTTTATAGATAAATTATTTCATAATTTATCTTAAAGTCTCATCTCATAGGTATAGGCTTTACAATGGGCTTTTGAATGAGGGTAAGTGTATAGTTTGTTGTTTCAGTTTTTGGTATAGTCTATTTTACAATCTATTGTATTGCTTATGTTGTTTTGTTTTTTTTGTTATATGGTTGTTTGTTATGGTTTATATTATTGTTTTCTATAAGGTGTTGCTCCCCTGTCTTTAGTATTTACCCCATAGAATTTTGTTGTATCATAATCTGGGCGGGTAGATAGGAAAGACGGGGGAGCAACAGTCTAACTTACACTCTGAAGATTCTGCGGATTGAATTGGATTGAATTGGATTGACGGTTGTGTTTTGTGCTTTCAAAGTGTTGTGAAGTACGCAAGAAGGCACTGCACCTGGCCAAGAAGTGTTGGTACGCACTTTTGATCTCCTGTGCTGCCGAAAGTTGTCCCAAAACATGACTATCATAGGCTGATGACACTGACACTACAATCAGAATCATTCACAATCTATACCTGCTGTACCTGTGCTATACCTGTGAGTTGTGCATCCGGCTGAATCTCTCGAAAGCCGGAAATGCTGATGTCGCTGATGTAACTTGGCTCCTCCCTCTGCTTCTCGCTTAGCCAGCTCTCGACCTCAGGTCATAGGCACATTCAATCGGTTTGAGTCTCAAACTGACATTTTGACAACGGAGAGTTTTCTTGGCATCTTGAAAACGTCTGTGTCCCAAGCTGCAGGATTGGATAAGGCCGAAAGGTTGGCATTGATTTCGGGCCTAGCAAGAATATGGCGGTGCTCTTTCAGCTATCTGGTTACTGAACATATTGAACATACTGAACAACCTCACAAAGCCTAGCATCAAAAGAAATGCAAATTGAAACAGTGTTTCAACCTTGACCATTTTGAGCCCTGATTGCGCCCTGTAAGCCCTGACAAGACCTAGGATGTCTTGACTTCGACTACTTTGGGGCGTTAGATATCGTTAGACGGTGCTCGTGATGGCAACAAGGAAATTTCAACATATTTCAACCAGGATGAGGACGAGGACATGGCTGGCAATGATGAAAGTAAGTAGGCGGAGGAAGGGGGCTACGGCTGTGATGCATACAGAGCCGGCAAAAGAGAAGCCATGCAGGGCGAAAAAACAGAACAAATTGCACGTCACAACCTCTTCGAACCTCTACCCATTGGTACGTAACAGCAAGGTGCATAGACAGATCGGCAACTGAAAGCGCGACCATTTTACAGCACCCTGCAACGTGAACAATCCCTTCAGAATTAACTAAAGCTTGGAAGACAGGTAGCAAACACTAGCTTTCGTGAAATGCTGACCACCATGCCGTCTGTTTTTTGCTGAGTCCTCTTTCACCAAAGAACTCTGCATTTCACAGAATTCACAAAATGCAAAGCTGAACCCTGTTTTGTTCCAGGATGAGAAAACAGCTCCAAAGAGGAATGAAGTACCTGTAGCCGGTAAATGTTCGGAAATGGTCACTGAGAAAACTGCCTGTTTTGTCCTAATCCATATTCTTTGACCAAGTTGCGCAGCTTTCCAAAGCGTGAAATGGTCCAAAGTGCGCTCGGCCCTGCGGATTTCCTGTCCTTGGCTGTTGCGATATGCACATTTATGCACCCCAACCCCAAAAAGATCAGAAACAAAACCGCCAGCATTTTTTTTTTCTGCAGTGCCAAAGTGCCGCAACAGAAATGACAGCGATCAAAGGTCCAGGATGATCCAGGATGGTCCAGGATGGTCCAGGTCTGCATCGCCATCTGGTCACTTGGAAACCGAACTTGTTGAGCTGCTGGGCCTCGGCAACTCTCTGTTTTGTCAAGGTTCGGCAATTGGAAGCCTGTTGAAAGTGCTTAGCATTGCTACAGAATTTATCTGATTTTATATGAATTCATACAGTTTTCACAACGTTGAACAAATTTACTATTGTTCTCTCCTTCAAAAAAAATTGAACAATCATGCGCTGCGCATGCGCACGGGGACAAACAAATGTTTCATCTCAACTCTAAAGCTGCATAATTCCAATCCTCAGTTGCATCTTCGGCCACAATTCAGTCATTCTACAGTGAACTAAAATGAAACTGTGCGACAGTCATTCTTTCAGTGAACTACGCTGAAATAGTGTGAAGCTGCACAAAATGAGGTTCTGCCCAGCCGAAGTGTTTGAATCGATCAAAGGTGAATGGTTTTGATGTCTTGAGATATCTTGAGATGTTGGTGACACAAATTGGTGGAAATTGACACAGATTGACACAGATTGACACAACATAACAGAACCATAACAGAACCAGTTCGGTTGCAGTATTGCTCCAGGCTGCTCTGGGCTCCGCACGCAGTGAGGTCCTGCTCCCGTGCCTCCACCACTTCAGCTCGTAGCTGCGCCTGTGACATATCCAGACCATCCGAGTCTTCAAGAGTCTGCAAGTGGCTTTTTGAAGGCGAACAACAATGATTCCTGCGATTTCTCATGCCATTCGCTCTACAAAATCTTAAAAGTGGACACCTTGAAGTACACAAAAATTGGTCAACGATAATCACCTAGTGTTTGAAAGCATTCAATCCCACAACTACAATGGAGCACGGACGCATACAGAGGCATGAACATTGACATACATCAACCTTCACTAAACTGAAGCTATCATACTTCTATCATGACTTTTTGCGCATGAAAAGCGAGAGAATCAAAGTGAATGTGATTTATTTTGATTTATTTTGATTTGTTTGATGCATTGAAATGCATTGAAATGCATTGAAATGCATTGAAATGCATTATCATTGTAAGTATTCGTAAGTTCTAAAGAAATGACCGTTGCCAGCATTCCTAGAGACTCGACCGTCACCGTTCCGATCGTTCCGATCGTTCCGATCGTTCCGAGCCTCCAGCTGCTGCTGCTGTTCACCCTGCCGTCCGGTGCTGCTGACATTGCCAGCAGTGGCCTCCAGCTCCAGATCGAAAAACATGCCAAGAGTAATACAAATTTGGAAAAGACGCAGCCAAAAAGATGAATCGAAAGGTACATGCAGCAATGATTGAAGTCGAATAGATGGGTATGTCTGAAAATGGGGTTATTTTCCCAATTATAGCCATAATGATCATTAACCATTGGGATCCATTGGGTGTAGGGCTACACTATTTTCAGACAAACCCAGATGTTCACCCGGTCACCTCGTGCTCCAGAACTCCTCGCATCGCCTGCGCCGATCATTGCGACAAATCATCGCAAGGCGATGTGAGGCATCGCACAGGTCGTTTGAAGCTTGTTGCGCTATCCTGTACAATGTTTGCCATCAGTTTTTCAAGTTTCACAAAATATAGATATATGATATATGTAACTATAAATATCATGTATTGTATATTCTATACTCTTGTCAGTTTCAAATTGCGCGAGCTAAGTTTCGCATTCACAGCCTGTTTCAGGGCTTCCTGTGCTTCCTGCAAGGCTTCAGTGGTGTCCTGCACCAGTTTCCGCAAACTTGTGGAGACCAAGACTTGGAGTGAAATCCACCCGCACCGAAGGTGCTGGGGCGTGATCTTCCGGATGGCACTCGTAAAAGGTTACGGTTTACCTGGGGGGGGGGGTCCATTTTTCGGCCACTGTTTTTGATAGGTCGTGACGCTCGCCTTCAAAAAACACTGTAAAAAACAGTACGGAAGACACCTGTTCGTGAACGCGCCCGTCCAAAATCGGCAAGCGAAAAGTGAAAAAACCCGTGTTTTTCAACTTTTTGACCTCAATTTTTTGGTTTGCAACATCTTTTTTTGCGGTTCCGCAGGTGGCCGGGCCCGGAGGCGGATTTTTGAGTTTTTGGACCCGTTTTCGGACTGATTTTCGTCGTTTTGTGATAGCAGAAACACTGGTTTTTATAGTGTTTTTCTGTTTTCTGCATGCTTGACGGCTAGCTTCAAAACTTCCAAAAACCTCGTAAATTACGCTGTTTTATGTTACGGTGTGAATGAAAACATCGTAAATACCAGTGTTTTTTGACGTTGGTTAAAAAAACACTGTAAATTACAGTGTTTTTGGCCACCTGACCCTCAAAAACCATGGTATTTGCAGTGGTTTCTGCTTCTCACCGCGCAAAAACACTGTAAATAACAGCAATTTCGCCGTTTTTTCATGTTTTTCGTTATTTTTTGAACTGCGTTGGTCCGCTATACATGGCTATCAAATTCTTCGCGTTTTTTTTCCGACAATCAGTACTTTCGGATGTTTTTGGTCTCAATGGCCGACATCATTGGCAGTTACGAGCGGCTGCCCAACGATGCGGTGCGGGCGGTTGCCGTCGCGAAGCGACGTGAATACAATTGATTTGTTCTGTCTTGTACCGCCGTCTGACAAATGCAGTGTTTCAAATTCAGTTTTCCATATCAAATTGAATTCAATTGGAATTCCATTGGAATTCCATTGGATTCGTGATCGTTGAAGTAGAAATGATTCAACATCGCTTCACCTGGCCTTGACCTGTTGCGCTGCCGCACCTTCAGCCATTTCCTGCAGCACTTCTAAGGCAAGATGCTCCAGTTTTGAGTCTCAACAATCCACATTGCTTAAAAATGAAGTAAGATGAAGCAAGACTAAGACTCACTTGTCACATCACTAGCAGTCATCACATCTCACTAGCAGTCACTAGCAGTCACGTGTCGCATCTTTTTTGGTCCCACTCCCAAAAGGCGGCACTTTCGTCGCAAATCGAAGCAAATCCCGGCGCCTGCTGATCCAAGTGCAGGACGTCTAAGTACAGCACCGTCCGAAGCGTTTTGGGCAGGCCCTGGCATTTTGAGACCAAAACGGTGGGAAAAATGTGGAAAAATCTCCAAATGTTGGCAACAATTGTTTCAACGAGTTTCAAAGCTTTGCTTCCCCGTCCTCATCGACAGTGTCTGGCACCAAATAGGCCGCGATCAGAAGCATCCACATCTGTCACGGCACAGAAGCAGTGGATACATGTGGATACTTAGATCCGATAACACCTCACCAGACATTGGAATAGACAGCTGCATATTGTAAGTCTGGTAAGTCTCCGCACGCTGTGAAGCAGGAAGGCTGGCAATGCAAAAAACTCCACCGTGCGGACCTAATGTGCACAATCAAACGATGTGCACATGGAACGTGACCATGTTGAATTCACTGCAAGGCTCTTAAGACTCTGAGGTGAATGCAGACACTGTGGGCACGAAGTGAATGAGAATGCCTGGTTAAACAGGAAGCACATGGGAACAAATAGGAAGAACCTTCACACAACTCAATGTGACGTCAGGAAGTCGCCATTAAGTGGAAATTAAAAAGCGTCACATCATGGACGGCTAACCTTTCTCATTTACCGAAAAGTGGAAAACATTGAAGCAGAAAAGTACAAACTAATGATGTTGTACACGCCTTGAATCATGTTCAGCCGAGCTTCCAATGTACAAGGGTGGAAGGGCCATGAAAACAATCCTTAGAGCATAGACTGTTACTGTCAAGGTTGGTGAATAAGTGGTAATCCATGTTGAAAATCATGGCCGTCAACTTGAGTCCGTTTCGTCCGAATGTGGAGAAACTCTTGGCTAGGGAAGCCCACACTGCAAAGGCGCCGCTCCAGTGTTGGAGTCCTGGACCATCTGTCTGTCCAAGACATTCCAGAACCGTCAGACGTCAGCAGACCTGGCCTTCTGCCATATCCAACCGAAGCAGTAGCAGAGACCTCAACTGGCGTCACCATAGGTCCCAAAAGGGGCTTCATAATCTGCCGACTATGGACATGAATGATCATGAATGGACCACAGTCATTGACAATAATTGACAAACGTCTGAGAGATTGAAATGGATGAATATGGATGAATATGGATGAACTCTGATGAAATCCGCTGAGAATAAGACAGGACTTGAACACCCACGAGGGACAGAGCAGCACCCGATGGTGTCTGCACCGCAGTGTGCCGTAGTAAGAAATGCACGGGATGGAACGGGAACAGTAACGAACAGGACATGGGATATATATGGGATATATGGGATGAAACGAGCACATCATCTTGGAGTTGGATGGTAATGTAGAGCGCCTCTTCAGCAATGCCGCCAACAATGTAGTAGGAAAGCGCTTGCAACATTTGATTGATGCCTGCGAAGATCGAAACGACACATGGAGCTTGATCAAGTTCTGCTGAGATCAAAAGGCGACAGTGGGACTGCGGGCAAGCCCAGCCCATACTTGATGGTTCAATAGGAAAATATTGTACCCTGAGGTAGACTAACATAGATCTGGAAACGGCTGGTTGCCCTAGATCTACAAATATTTTCTGGAGGGCACTAAAAATCATCATACCACACTTGTAAAGCATCATAATCATAACTAACCAGGCTAATTCATGAAGTATATCCTAAGATGAGTTATAAACCAGCTCCTAACTATTTGAGTATTTACTATTACTAATCCTTTTAACCACCATTACTAATCATCAAAGCAAAGAAAAGGTGTTGGCTAATCCTTCTCCAGGCAGACCTTCCATCAATCCCATCTCGGCCCCAGCCTAGGGCCATACACACTCGAGCATACGCATCATAGAACAGCCAACGCCTTTGCTCCTGAAAAAAAATGACAAACATATATACCAGGATCCACTAGCCCTGCAGCGCGGAGGAGTGCGAGGATTTCTTCTCCAACTAGGGATTCTTTGAAAAATAAGCACCGTTTGGAGAAGTCACTTCAGCTTTACATGCTAACGGGCTCAAAAAGGGCCAACTCCCTTTCCCTTTCCAACGTCTTCCAAACGTTCACTATACTCATACTGTGATGCTCAAAAGCAAATTTTGATGACAGCAAAATGTTCAATCAAGTCGTCCTTCAAGAAACGGCGGAAGTGATATTCTCGATCGAACAAGGCCTCGAAAGGCAAGACTTTCTGCATTAAAGTGGAAACTGGATCATGAGGCATCTAGTGAGTTTCAGGTTTATGCAACTGGGGCATAGTGTCCCCACTCATCGTTCATGATGACATGTCATCACATCTAACTATCTATGATTAAGACAATCATTTGAGTCGTCATCATTGAAATGTGATTTAATAAATATCTAATATATCTAAATATATCTAAATATATCTAAATATATTGGATAATCATAGACATATCAAAATCAAAATCTGAATCTTCATCCGGATCATGTGCTGGGACTGCCTTGGCACCTTCTTGGATGGCAAGCCTCACCGCAACAATATCGGCTTCGAGGTTGATGTTCCCAGATGTTCCCATGCTGTCATGAAAACGCATGTAATATGCATATAATTTCTGATGTAATTCTTATGTGATTCTTATGTAATTCTTATGTAATTCTTATGTAATTCTTGTAACACATGCTTCATTTTTTTCATGTTCCACTTTCGCTTCGAGTGAAAGTGACAAATGCAATGGCTTGAACATTGGAAGAATGGCATACAAACATAAACAAGTTGAACGAAAGCACCGACCAATGCAACTTTAACTTCGCTGTCTGTTTCAAGGCACGAGAAATCTCGGGTGACAATTGACAACGACAACGACATATTTCTCCAGCTGGGTGACGCAGAATCTGAAGCGGTAGCCACCGTTGTGCTCAGTCCAGCGGCAGCCCTCGGCAGTGATTGCATGGATTCCATGGAGTTTTTTTTCAACCTGGGCCCTGTATGGATGCTGTCATCTGGATGGGCACGATCGGGGGAGTCACCTTGCAAGCTGCGCAGTCTCTCGTCGCAGAGCCTGTTACCACGAGTCGAAGCGATGGAGACATCACGGCCATGTGGCTTCCTGGAAATCGGCCATGTACCACATAGATCTACATAGTACTACTGTACTACCATAGACATCCATAGACCTCTTGTTGCGGCTTCTGCCACTATGTGCATCTATGTGCATCTATGTGCTAGTTTAAAAGCCTCCTTTGGAACACAGAGTTGCAGCTCTTCGGATTCTTCTCGTTCACCCGCCTCTTGTTGCTGAGCTGCCTCTGAGCTTTGACTTTGCGCGGCCTCATGACATGATCCGAAGACACATGACATGTGTGAGATTATGTGAGCTGAGCTGTAGGACAGCATTTTGAAACTCCAGGATAGCCATGGTTCAACAGCTGTTGAAATCTGTTGAAATCTGTTGCCTCAAAGACCGGCGCCTCTGCTTCTGCCCTTGCTTGGGCCATACCAAGGCGCTTTCCCAGCATCCGGAAGCGTTCCACCCTCACGGGCTCATTGGGCTCATTTCTCTGGTTGCAAACATTGAAACATGTTGAAACAAACAATAAACAATGGCAAAGTATGGCAAAGTGCAGCCGTGTGACTGAGTGAAACCATTCATTGATTCATATTCATTCCGATTCATTCCATTCATTCCACGCATTGGGATGCTTCACTTCGTTAAACCCGCCGATTCGTAAGGAAAGAAATTGGTGCAGAAATTCGTGCTGGTACTGAGTTTCTCCAAGGCACATAGGCACGAGGGGAGCCTTTGCCACCTCCACAAGGACATCGCAAGGACCGAACTCGTCGACTCGTCACTTTTCAACTTCAACTCGTCCCAAAGCAAAGGCAGGTATAGTCGGTATAGTCTTGTCATGTCTTGTCATGTCTTGTCATGTCTTGTCTATGTCTTTTGAGATCTGCTGCACCTCCTCCAATTCTTTCCGTGTTGGGATAGAGAGCCTCACACAAGCCGAACTTGACCAGCGAGTTTTCCAATAGAAGTTTGGAGGGTTGGAGCAATGTTGCCAAAACCGCAGCCTTGCGAAGCTTGTGAGCAAACGAACACCTCAGGAAAAACAAACATCCTTAGATCCTTCAGATCCTTTTGGCACTGAATTTTGTTTCTGGAGGTTTCCATTTCTTCTCAGGGCTGGTCCGATGGAGTGGGAAGCAACAGATGCGTGCATGGAGAGCCACCTTGCAGCTTCGACCCATGACAGGCCGACAGGCTGACAGGCCGACAGGCCACTTAGCTTCACAGTTCTGAGGCGCCGGCACGGAAAAAACCAAGAAGCCAACGGCACCTTTCCAAAGTTTTCCAAATAACTCGCCAAATGACTCCCATGGCAGGGCTTCTGGATGAGTTTTCACAATCGCCATGAAGATCCAAGGGAACCAGAATCAGAAGTAGAGAAGAAGAAGAAGAAGAATTGCAGTCTAAATATAATATATATATAATATATATGTATATATATATATTGTATGTAGATTATATAGACAATATTGTATGTAGATTATATAGATAAATATAATCTATATTATTGCTTGCAATATTGCCTGAAATTTGGCCATCATTCTTTACGTAGATTCATTTGCACCTCTTCCTCTTCCTGGCCCATGTCCAGTGTCTATCGCTAAAGGTTTCCGGCAAGCTGAGTTGGGTTTAGGGTTGCAGGGACGGTCCGAATGAAAAGCATGAAATCTGATCACCCAAACAATCTTTATATCTGCTCCTGATCATAGAATTGGATGATGGGAAAACTTACAGGAAACCCTTATATTTGATGGTAAAAACCATGGTTTCCTGTAGATTTTCCCTTAAACCAATCCATTGACATGAATGACGTTATGATATAGGTGATATATAGGTGATATTTGCATGTTGGAAGTCTGCAATTTTTTCGATGCGACCATCAAACCATCAAAGCCTGACATCCCTGACCAGCTAAGGCTCCAACTAAGATTGGCAATCAGGAAGAACACCTCATGGTGAACGAATGCTTAACAAGTTCCAGGTGAGCGATGAAGGGATTGGACCAGTTTTTTGCAGTTGTCCAGTTGTCATAATCGCAGCCAGTCCACCACCACGAAAGCTTTGGTGTCGCTTTCTCTGGCACCCTGGCCGTGTGCTGTTTTCCATGACACAAGACATCTGCATGCCTGAATAGTCAGATTGTCGCAGTTCTTTGGATCCTCTGCTTCAATAGATTGTAGAAGTAATCGAAAAGAAACACATGTGCAAGATTGTTCAAGTATGTTGAAGTATCAACCCACGTTGCCACATTGCTTTGCATGGCTCACCAAGCAAACCACACTTCAAAGGTAGCCAAATCTCTGTGCTGGAATCCATTAAATGCATTTAAATACCTTGTAAAAGGACTCTGCCTTGCGGCAGAAATAGTGACACGTCCATGTTTGGTCCGTGTCAAACGCCATGAACATCATGTGATACCTGTGGACATCAACATGTCTCAGATTACCTTCTGCCAAACCTTTACAGATTACATGCAGCAAGAAAAACAACACCTGCCTCTATCATCAGATTCTCGCAGTAGAAATGGATGCAGAACCTGTCTGGTTTTGATAGGAAAAGGGCTGCCGCGAATCACGGAATCTTTGCAGATGTCAACCTTCAAAATCAATTCAAGGCGATTTATGTTGTAATGAATCCACGCCTGCCAATCCCATTACACTAGCCACGCTAGCCGCGTTGAAGAAAAGTGGTCCGCTAGCCGCGTTGAAGAAAAGCGGTCCGCTCCCCAAGTTCCCAATCTACAAGATCTATATATATATATGTATATATATAGCACAGCTGAGAGAGCCACTCGAGCAGCAAAGCACCCACCAAATGATAGACATCCATCCCTGCCAGGATTTTGCCACTCAAAAATCAAATTTACGGTGGGACAATTTGGACAACTTATCAAGCAGTCTGCTGCCAAGACACGACCCACTGTGAGTTCAACCAAATCTCGCAAGTCCTGAAGGGATGGATTGGCAAAAGACAATGACATAATTTAAATACAGCATGCAACGCTGAAACATGACCCACATTGACTCCTCTCGGAAAAGCTTTTGTTGCTCAATGTTCCTTCAGGTGCGGAACAGCTATGGAAAACAGAGCCTACCTCCTTGCAATCCAGACTACAGCAAAAGGAGTGCAACCGTTGAACAACCGTTGAACTACGTTGTTGCCAGAGTTTTTGAAGTCCATGACCCAAAACATTCCCCAGAACTGCTAAATGCTCTCAAGCGTCATCTCGTACTCTGCCAACCGGCCTTAGTCGAAGATGAAATGGTACAAAATGCATTCTCGCAAATCACATCCTTCAATGCCGGCTCCACACTTGAGATAAGTACGGTGAAAGCTCTGTTCGGCAGAGACAACCTCAACGTTGCGAAAAGAATCGGAAAATCATCAGTCCACGTGAATGAAGTTGATTTGAAAACAATAAGTATTCAGCAGGTTGAAAGTTGAAGTTGAACAACAGAGCTTCAGTAACTACGCTACTTTGAAGACTTGTGCATTGCAGCTGCCTGGCCCTCCACGAAGAGCTCTGGAAAGGCATCTTTGACAAATCCACCTGAAAAAATGACACAACAGGAAACAAAATGGCACATCACTTGAAACAAAACATATTGTTACATCACAAAATCTCATATCTATCCAATCATATCCAATCTATTCATATCTGGCATATCTCTCAACATCTCGCAACGACACAATGGGCTGCAGGGTTCTGTGGATTCGCACTGGGAAGCTGCAACCGCATCCCATATCCCAACTGCCAACTGCAATGCTTTTCTGAGGTCCGGGCCCAATATTTCACTTGCCATTGCAAGATATGCAATCGCAGTGCGCCAGTACGCCGGTGCGCCAGGGTCTCGAAGTCTTCCACTTATTTATCTTTCTTTATCTTATTGTTTGATTTTCTCTGAGCGAAGTAACGTCTTGATTTGATCCTTTTTCCCTGTATATACAAGGACAACTGCCAGTTCACTGGCTCTTAACTTCTTTGATGTTTGATCTTTCGAAGCTGTCTCTGGGAAACAAGGTTCCTTAGATCAAACTTGTCTTGCTGTTGGATTTGTTACGTCCTTGAGCTCAAAGCAACAGCTTTCATCATCTTCACGGACAACCTTCAGAACCTTCAAAGTCAAAACATCGAAGGTCACCAACGTCACCAACGTCACCACATTGGAAACCTTCGCATCTCGAACCATGTCGAGTTCGTCCCTGAACTCGTGATAGCTCGTGCACCTCCACTGGGACTGGGGGTCGGATCTGTCAAGGCTGTTTCGAGGTCCTTCACAGAACAAAGCGAAGAAAGACGTCAAAATGGTCAAACTCTTCGCCAAACAATGTGTCAAATATGTGTCAAATAAATTCAAATAAATTCAAATGAGTCGAACCAATGTCCAATGTGGTAACCAATGTGAAACCAGTCAAACCAGTCATGATCATGACAATTCATGACACATATTGACACATTTTGATGTCGGAAGCTCCGCCGTGGAAAGCTCTGAGTTAGAGCTCTGGGAGCTCTGGGCGCTCTCCTGCTGAAGTTGCTCTGCAAAGTCTTCAGGCACGGCCAGCAGTGAAGTGCCTGGCACTCCATCCACATTCGACGTGAAAAACCCCGGTAGAAGCATGGAAATTGTCGTTATGTCCAAGATACCGCCAAGACAAGTTACTCCTTTTCATATATACGTGTATATATATATATACATTTATAATATTATTAATATTAAGACCTGTTGATCCTATTATCTTGAAGGTTCAGCATCTAACCCTAACCCGCCATCTCAACTCTCCAGTTGGCACTTGACCACCCACTGACTGTCCTGTGTCCACCACTGCTCGACATTCACCATCGTCGCAATAGTCTAGGGTCCTGACGAATTTGAAACGGGATGGCAGCAACGCAATGATGGTGACATGTTGTGACACTTGTAAAGCTGTTTGAGTGTCATAAAACATCAGAGCAAGCACCTGGACCAACTTGAGACGTTTGAGATACAGCATGACTAAGAAATCAAGAAATCAAGAACATACAGACGTCCGAATTGCTCGTTTCCAAGAACAATTGCTGAACATGTGCTGAACACTTCATGCTTTGACCCACTATCCGACTGTCCTATTCCCAATTCTGATGCTGTTGACCTGAACCTGAAGTGCGCCAGTTCCATCCGGTTCGGAGTTCGGTTTTGGAGTTCGGCTTCCAGTCACTGAAAACCGCACTGTTGCACTACTTACACTGCACGGTTCTTAGAAAAACATAGAAAAACATCGTAACGCACCTGCCAGTAGCCAAGTTCTGGTGACGCGACTTTCGCCCAGGTTAAGGCGGAGGTGATCTTGTCCTGCAAAGCATGGCTTATGCATGGCTTACTACAGCGTCAAGTTCTTGTGTTTTCCTTTCAGTATAGGATACATGTTTCAAGGAGATTGGATTTCAATGTACTTGAAGAAGAACTTGAAGACTTGTCACATGCACCCCATTTGTCTAACATTCTGTTGCTTTCACTCGGCACCTTTTCAGCTCGGCTGCTCGGCTGTCGGTTGAGCTCCGGGCAGGGGAGATACCTCCGAAGGAGATCTCGCTGATCTCGTCATCACTGTCAGCCAGGAAAACACCTCACCGAGGTCGTCGGGGTACAGGTCGAGCCAAGTCGGATCGACGACGGGAGGACGGGACGACGGGAGGACGGGATGCAAGGTGAAGTTCTTAATGCTTGCATCGTGCACGTCGTGCACCGCTCCTTTCTGTGAAGTTTTGAATGGACTGGCTACGGCTTCAGCACCAGTCCTTTCCCACCAGGATCCAGGCCAAAACTGGGTTCCTCTAGTGCAACCTGCCGAGTTTCCCAGAAATCCGCAGGTTGGGACAGAGATTGCTTCAAGGGGAAGTCCGGGACTGGCCTGCTTGGCCATCATGCCAAAGAAGCTAAACCTGGTCCGTGGCAAAGGCGAGACTGGAAGCCAAACGCCATCCTTTGGGCCACATATTTCATGACAGAATATCTGAGCGATTTCAAACATTCAACTGCTGACATTCACAAATAATCCAAATACATCCAAATAACCAAAATCCGCCCACACCGCTTTGGCGGTGAAGGCGTGCTTATTGGGGGGCAACAGCAACACTAAATGCTCAATGACACATTTGTTAATATAGCAGTCGCTATATCAGCTTTAGCTGGGGGGGGGGGGGCCAAAAACGGTTTCGCACCGAGACCAGACCCCAAAAACGGTTTCGCACCGAGACCAGAATACGGTGGTGTTTTCGACATTTTTCGAGGATTTTTGGGTGTCTGAGCGCAAGAGGGTATTGAAATGGAATTTTGGGTCATTTTGGTAGCTTTCCGGCAATGGAAAAACGGCCAAAAATGAAAAAAACATTGTACATAGCAAGATTTTGCAGGGTTTTTGGATGCCAGAGCATTGAAAACACTGCAAAAACAAGTGTTTTGGACTGACGTTATAGCAAAAAACGTGTAAATTACCGTATGCTTGACTGGAAACATTACAAAAACACTGTCAAAAGCAATGTTTTGGAAGGATTTACTGCCTTTATGGCAAAAAACGTGTAAATTACCGTCTGTTTGACTGGAAACATTGGAAAAACACTGTCAAAAACAATGTTTTGGAAGGATTTCTTATATATATGTTGGAGTTGGCTACCGGCATTGGCACATGGAAAAATTGAAGAAAACACTGTAAATAGCGGTATTTTCAACGGTTGGGGAGATAAGGGAATTGGAAGCATTGTCGAACATGATGTTTTCGACCGGTTTTATGGCGACAAAAGTGTAAAGTACCGTGCTTTGAAGGAAACCATTGCAAAAACATGGAAACACATTCAAAGAACACGGGATTTGGGGGACTATCTAGGCGTCGTTGTCTAGCTATTTGAAATTCCGCAGCTTGGAGAGCCTCCAAGGGAGGGAAAAGTGAAAATTCCATAGCTTGGGAAGCTGTCACGGCGGGGAAAAGTGAAAATTCCCTAGCTTGGGAAGCCCCCACGGGGGGGAAAAGTGAAAATTCCCTAGCTTGGGGAGCCCCCACGGGGGGGAAAAGTGAAAATTCCCTAGCTTGGGGAGCCCCCACGGGGGGGAAAAGTGAAAATTCCCTAGCTTGGGGAGCCCCCACGGGGGGGAAAAGTGAAAATTCCCTAGCTTGGGGAGCCCCCACGGGGGGAAAAGTGAAAATTCCCTAGCTTGGGGAGCCCCCACGGGGGGGAAAAGTGAAAATTCCCTAGCTTGGGGAGCCCCCACGGGGGGGGGAAGTGAAACTTCTTAGCTTGGGGAGCCCCCACGACGGGGGAAAACCACCCTTAGCCCCTCTCACGGACCGAAATAAACCTGCGGTGTGGGCGGCCACCCCACGCGAAGCGGGGTGAATACTAGCTCATACTCACAAGTCATAAGTTTAATATAGTTTAATCAAATATTCGACTACCCATAGCTACCCATAGCTAGCCGTAGAGCCGTAGAGCCTGAGGCTTTATGTTTGGTGACTCGAGTTTGGTGTGCCAGGTCACTCTGGAGCCAGCGCCAAGTTGTCTAGCCTCAGATGGAAGGAATGCACAGAATGATACAGAATTGTAGCTATTGTCGCTTCGAAATATTCATATTCGAAATAACTGGGCAAAGCTACAGTTCTCTTTTCGTGGAAACTTGAACACCAAAAAGAACAGGCATAGCTTTGCAAGACTAACAAAGTTCATAGCAATAGGCGGAGAAAACATGAAACTGTTGTTTTCCTTTGTTCCCCCTATTGAATTAGTGCGTGAAACTCACATTGTTGGGCCTGTGTTTGGATCTCTGATTTCCAGTATTACTAGAACGGCGGCATGGGAGCTGTTTGCTACACAGCACGTTGGCTACGATCGTTTTCTACCGCCTTCTTTGGGCGGAGAGACTTGTTGCAAGAGAAAACGACCGCTGAGGATGCTTGCGCTTGACAACTTGAGTCACTTGAGTGTGATTCTGATTAGTCTGATTTGCATGTCACAACGCTTCTCAAATCTCAAAGCACACAATGTCACACTGTCCTTTTAGGACGTTGACAGAGTGCGCAAGAGTTTTTGCAAATGTTCCGGCAAGACTTGATCCAATAGCACCTGGAAGTGCTCAGTCATTCGCTCAGATTCACAGGCAAGCGCCGCCATGTTGTAGCCTCTAAAGGGGCACATGAAATTCTCCACCATAAAGAGGGAAAAACCTTGCTATCAAAATAAATGGAAAATGTAAAATCAGCAGCAAATAGGGGGAGTAGTAACTGTACATGTTCCAACCTGCACCGAAGGTGCCAAAAGGTTTGTGCCAAGCCCAAAGCACCAGCCACACAGGCTCTGGGTCTGCAAGCCCAACAAGGGCCGAACTTAAGAACAAAAGATTCCCATGATCCAGCCATATCCAGCCGATCATCAAAAAACAATTTTAAAAAAAAGCAGGGTTTTTGTCACTCAATTCGTTTCCAACAGCGTCTGGTGTTGACTTGGCGCAAGTCTTCGGCAAGTGACTGATCAGATCGGCGAGAATGGCTGCCTGAAAGTGGTGAACGTGGCATGGGTACTGCCAAAATACGAACGCCCCTGAACTGAATTAGAATAGGTCGAATAGGTGATACGTATAGATTCAATAATAAGAAAGCAAAACTATTTGCAGTGACATGCAGTGACAAAGCTATTTGTAGCGGCGGAATTGCAACATTGTTTGGAGCCTTGGCAACAAGCCTACACTGGAATATCATGGATCTACAAACGGGTGCAAAGATGTCATCGTGACTCCGTCAACGTCCGTCAACGTCCGTCCTTAGACATCTCTCCCAAGAGCTGGAGGGTGAAGTGCCAACGGGGCCAACGGGGCCAACGTGGCCGCGTGCATGTCACGCAGGATCTCAAGACCTCGCGATGCGGCAAGGAAATCACAGAGAGTCATCACAAAGGAAGGAACAGTGAAACGAAATGCCTTTTGAAGCCTTTTGAGACCTTTCATCCAACCGAGCGACACAATTGTAGGTGATCAATCCAGGCTCGACTAAGTCCAGGGTCTCGGCAGCCAGCTCCCATCTGCCAGCTTTCCTTTCCAAAGCACCAGTGCAGTGCAAACATCAGAATCTGACTACTTCTGCAACTTCTGAAAGCGGTAACCTGATTCCTGAAAAGTCCTTTGTGGCTTCTTCGATATCACACTATCACACCATGCCAGCAGATCCCAAGCTGAGTATCTCGTAGGCGGCCGCTGCACTGTTGAAGGTGTTTAAGTTTGGTACCTTCAAAGTTAAGCGACCCTGAAAGTGCACACATCTCCACACAACGCGAAAGCCATCCGAAAAAATCACTCGGAAAGTGCCCCCTTTCTTTGTCCGAAAGTGTCATCGGATGATATCGGATGCCAATCCAGAACCGCTCATCTCGAGGTCACCAGGCCGTGAGATTTCATTGAGCCAAGAAGTCCAGCAGCAGATTGCCACCGACTGGCCGCTTCACAAGCACTGATTGCTGCGGTCAGATCTTGGCGCCGTTGAAAGAAAACTTCCGGTTGAAGGAAAGCAGGGATCCAGACAATAAAAATAGTAATAAAATTAGTAATAAAAATCATAAAAACATCAGAAAAGAATAGAAAAGAGGATCAACATGGATCAACATGGATCAACATCAGAAAAGCGGATGCCCAACTGCGCCACGGCAGAGATTCTTTGGATTCATTGGATAGCATAGCCGGCATAGCCATGAGTCCCCCAAAGTTTCACGTGGAATCCCAAATGGCATCGATGATAAATTTTCTGTGGATTCCCATTTGGATTCCCAGGTTCCAATGGTTCCAATGGTTCCATATTGAGCTTGAAACCGGGTCATGACTGGGTTGCTGTGCAGTCGAAGCATCTAATCACCGACGATGTCAGACGCATGCAAGGCATGCAACCCATTAGCATCATAGCCAGTTGCCAATTTGCTCCAGTCTCGCTTGCAGTAATTCCACTATTGAAGCCTCGAAGTCGATGCCAAAACAGTTTTCTGGAACCAAATGCAAAAACATCAGGGATGGACATGATGGAAACACGCTAATGAGATCATTAGTAAGGGTCTTTCTGCCTGTTTTGCCTCAAGGGACTAGGAACTTCCTAGGAACTTCTTCGTCTGACAGAAATAATGGCAGCAAGCAGCTCACTGCGTCAGGAAGGAGCTGCGCATGTTGCATGTCTTCCCTTGGAAGTTGTGATGCCGGATGCCGAAGGAGCAAACAAGCACCCTCTGTGTTTTGGTTACGGTCTAACCTTGAAAGATGGGTGCCATCGGGCCAAAGCAAGTACTCTGGTTGCTGTGAAATGCTGTGAAATGCTGTGAAAGATGGGACCATTATGGACCATCCAGCCTGATCCAGCAATTTTATCTCTGTATCCTCTGTTGGTCCTCTGTTTACTTCGTGCCATGTGGCAGGAGGTGAACTGAAAGCTTCCAGGACTTCTTGCAGGCAGTGATCGCACTGTTGTAGCCTCAGGCTGCGCTCGCATCGACTGTGCTGTGCAATATCATAAAAACATGGTTTACATAATTTTTAGATATTTGTATGTAGATCGTGTTTTGGCATGTTGGCGCGCTTCTAAAACTTGAGGTGGCGGCTGATCACGGTAGCTCGAACCTTCCTGCCGATCACAAAGCATCTCCGCACAAAAAAAAATCCGTCAATACCTCCCTAAACACATTAAGCACATGAAACGCAATCCGGCCCAAGTGCTTTGATTTTCCTGCAAAACATCTTTGGCGAAGTCAATCAAGGCTCCTCTTCTGCATGCTGCGTAGGAGCTCGACCACAAAAGATGGTCGCGCATCACAAGAACCTGGGGCCAAACTGGGCCAAAATCGGCCACGCGTCAATGCCAAATGGGCCCAATGTCAATGTGTTTGAATTCAACTCGGAATCACGTGGCAGGTGACCACGTGTAGAGTGTAGCAAATCACAGAGCCGTGATCCGAGTCTAGGACTCAAAATCGCGTTGAAAGCGATGGCATTGTCTTCAACCTGGAAGAGGTCAACGTTTCCAACATGCCATTCACTGGCCCACACTGCGGCCAGAAAGGTGTCAAAGGTGTGCCGAGCAGCTGTCTCTCTGAAATGTCATGGTATGTATGATATGTCACATATGTCATGTAAAGTTCATCAAATATCAAAATGAAAATCATGAAAAGCCTCTGGATCACCGAAGTTCGCCAGGGCAGCAAAGGCTCTTCGCCAGGGCGCAAGTGAAGCAGCGCCCACTGTTACTGGGCTAGCTTGCAGCCCAGCCTGTGAATCCGTGAAGTACCATGCTTGGCTTCAACTAAAATACATGAAAATACGTGAAAATGCATGAAAATGCATTATAATTCAAACTAGATTAGGATATATGCATAGATATACAACATTATTATCATTATAGATCTTTGATTTCCTGTAGATTTGTCCAGCTGTTTGTGGTTCTTTTGAAAGCTGCCTGCAAGAGGAGATCCACCAGTTGAAGGCCTGGTCGCCACTGGCTGCCCTGACGAGTCGACATGACGAGTCACTATGCTGATCAATGCTGTCAATCAATGCTGTCAAAACGACATGTGCCCATTCTGATATCGAGTCCGACTGATATTCTGAGTGTCGCCTGCTGCAAAGCACTCATGGCACTGTTGTAGCTGACGGCTGAAGCCCTCACAGAACAGGCATCAAAATTCATCATGCTGAGACGATGGAAAGTAAATACTGTTACGAGTGGAAAAGAAGAAAATGCAACACACTGGAACATGTTTTTTTTTTCCTGGTGTGGCTTTTATCGGAAAAGAATTACACCCATCTCTCCACGCATTTCTCTTTCCCGCCTTTGAGGTTTTCTGAGACGTTCAAGTAGACCAAGTGCCATTACCCAACCACTCGCACGCTCGCACGCCGTGATGGCTGCATTGTGCCTTAGATAAACGTTCAACGCAAAACAAAAACATATTCGACATATTTTTATTGGTATCACTGGCGCAAGAAATAGCATCGCATAGTCTCGCTACAATGACAGTGGATGACAAACCCTGACACATCGTGTTTGAGATGTGACCATCGTGCTTGTACAAATTTGCGGCCAAAAAAGAGAAGAGCGAATATTCAGCGGGAGCACCATAGAATTTTGGATAAGTATGTTTAGAAACACAAGAAGCTGAGCAGAGCAATGCACGGAACATAGACTGCAACCAACAGACTCACCAACGCAAAGTGTTCTTGGCTCTGAACTTTGAAGAAGGGGAACCATGCACTTTGGAGAGGCAGGAAACTTTTGGCCGATATACCAGAGGGCCACATCATTGAAGATGAACATGCAACGGCTGATGAGATATGGACTCGTCGTTCCCTTGTTTTCTCTTCTTCTTGCGTGTTTGCTCAACAGTGCACAAAGCTGTGCAAATGCAGGTATGTTTTCCCACCGGGAAGGGTCCATTTTGTTGCATCTGTTGCGGGCTGGTGAACTTTGATGCGCCAGGGCCTTTCCTGGACATGCTTTCCTACGGATCCGATTATTTGTGCCAGCAAATGCAACCAAAAAGGTAAAGCAAATTGCCCATATCAAAACAAGACATGGCACCTGTGGCGTGCTGAGAAAATGTAAATCTCGTGTCAGCTGTCGGTTGTGCAAACCATTTGTGTTTGATGCTGTGAAGAGAAATAGAATGAAATAGATAAATTAAACATCTTCCTTCCTTTTTTCCTTCCTTCTTTCCTCCTCCTTGTGCCATGCCCTAAAATGGTGTGAATGGTTTGCAAATGAAAGGTTTTGGCTCCAAAACTCGGCAAGTGTCCAGGAAAATAGTTCAGACCGAAGAACAATAAACACATCCCTCAAAAGGAAATGCCTCAAAAGGAAATGCCCTTCAAAGTTTTGTACGGATCCAGCCATTCATTTGATGCGCCATGTGGTCCGATAAAAGTCAAAGTAGATAAAGTAGATGTTTGGATGATGTTTGGATGATGAGAGTAGTCTAAATGATTGCAGTCTTCCCATGTCTTCCCTGTCCAGCTTAAAAAGTTGAAGCAAACTCGTTGACGAGGCACGCCATGTTGCCCAGCTTGAGGCTCCCAGGAGCTACTAAGTGGGTGGCCAGCTGCCACTGCGTCGCTGAGGCTGCAGCACATGCACCTTGTTCTGTAGAGAGTTCCAAATGTTCTGCACATGTTCCACTGCAAAGTCTCTGAAGGAAGCTCACTCTGGCGTTTGAGAATTCGAAAGTCTTCAAGATTTCCATTTCCAGTTTTCAACAAATGTTCAAATTGGTTTTCTCAATGATTTTATCAGAGATATGTCAGATAGAATGCCAGAAGATTTGCCAGTAACAAAATGGATAAATGTCATGGTGGGGATCACACGAAGTAAAGTATTTTCCATTATTTTCGGCATCCACCTTTCCCGCTGTGGCGCTGGTTGCAGCGCTCCAGGCCACGACATCCAGCTGTAGGAGGCGGCCGGTGCCATGTAGCAACTGCAGGGCCTGGTGAAAATCTCCAAAAACAGCACCGAATCTCGGTCGAATCTGATAGGTTGAGTTAGTTGATGTTAGTTGGATTAGAACATTAGAACTATACATTAGCATTACATTGGATGAACATCTGAGATATCTAAGATAGAATGGAGAGAGAGAAAGAGAATAAAATTAGGAATATGAACATATATGAAGCCGATATGGTTGATCACTGATCATTGATGTAGAAGACCAGAAAGGACGATCTGAAAACAAAAGACGCTGCGATGCCAAGTTCCTGCTTCCATTGGCTGCACTTCTCAGACGCAGTGATCACGGTGCTGACGGCAACAATGTCCTGCAAAGTATGCAGTGTATTGCGGTGTGGCATTGTAGAATGATGTAGAGTGCTTGATTCACAATGAAACAATCATGAAATCACAAGGAGAGATGTTGCTAAGACAGGCTAAGACATGCTAAGACTGGGAGCCACATTGATCCCACGAAGTGCCACGAAGTGCCATGCGTCACAGATCCCACGGGTCCAGCTGCAAAGCAAAATGGCCAAACTCCAGCAGCAGCTGCAGAGCCGCCGGCCACTGCTCTTGCTTTTTGCAAGCAGCAAGGGCTGACAGGGACAGATGGGACATGATGGGACAGAATGCGATGTGTTGAGCAACAGTATTCTCAGTATTGCAAAATGCGAAGCATTTTGAATGCGCCGAGGTCAATCTGTGACAGGTCCCAAGTACAGCAAATGTCAATCGTCCCAATTCTTGAGTTCCTGAATCCTTCCCTTTTCGTTCCTGAACTTTCCATTACTTTCCATCCCCTTCGGTGATGATGAAATGCTGTTGCCATTGAATCATCCTGCTCTGTACCTTGCCTGCAGTCGCAGCCTTCGCATCTAGCTGCAGGGCCGACTTTTGAGCTCTGCGCAAAGACCTCATTGAGAAGGGAAACAACAACAGCAACCGAAAGAATCTGAAAGATATAGTGAATATCATCAATTGTTTCACGGCATTTCCAAGGTCTGTGTTTCATATCATTTCCAATTCACTTCCTTTCTTGTCCATTCTTTTCCGACAACTGCGAGCTTTGTGTGACGAGGAACTGAAGGGCAGCTGGCCAATCCAGGCAGCTGGTCTCCTAAAATCACGACAACGGGCCAACAGTTTTCAATCTATGCAAGAGTTCGGAACCACATGTTACAACTGCTTATGTTCAACATGTTACAACTGATAGTCAAAAAAATACGAACAAAACTTGGTTTCAGAGATCGGATCGACATGAAATTCACCATCAACTGGCTACAAGTTTAAAACTTGAAAAAATCTCAGTGCTCCATGGGGTCCCTGTCCTTTGTAAAGCGACGTAATTTTTGCCGCTCTTTCACTTTCCATGCCCTGGCCAGGGGTGAAATCTGCGCAGAACAAGCTGCATTCCTCGCCGCGCCTCTCTGTGGTAGGGGCGATTCTCATGTACTAGCCCACCCTTTCGAGCCAAAGTCTGCATTCCAATCACTTCATGCATTATACAGAGTCGCATCTCTTCCTTATGTTCAACCTTGACTCTTAATCCCGAGACATTACACAGAATTGCAGTTATGTTACTCAAATTTTCTTACATTTACTGCACAAATCCTGACATTGGTCGTAAATCCTGAGGCTATTGGCCCAAGTCCAAGCACACCATCGAACGCGAAGGCGTGGAAGGGCTCTTCGGTCATCTGGGAAAAACACGGAAAGACAAGGTGACACGGGTATTGCCGGTCTGCCGGTGCATAAAGAATGTACATGAATGTACAGCAAGGGGCTTCAAAATCTTCAAACAGGCAAGTTGGAGTGCCTCTGTGGCCATAACAACCCGCAGGTCGACACAATTCATCGCCTGAACAAACTGTGCAAAAGAAGAAAGTAACGCAACGCGCCACGAAGAAAGTGAAGAAACATGACATCAATTAAGACATATTAAGACTTGAGAACGATGTTTGCAGTTTATTCCTTTCAATATGCATCGTATCAATCATACCGTCTGCAGTCGACCAAGCCTCATGTCTAAGCGGCGTCGAAACATTCGCCATGATGGGCACTTGGGTGATATTTTCGCCTAGGTGCAAGCAAAGCACATGGCGCAACTCACTGTATCTGCATCAACGGGATTGCAATTCAATGACAAGTCATAGATAGTCATAGTCAGACCCTGGAAGCCTTTCATCGGGGATTCCGCCCGGCCTGGTTGCCCTCGCTCCAAAGCATCGCCAGACCTAGGCACGGGAAGCCATGTGAGTCACATGCCATGAAGCAAAGTAAACACGAAACATGTACTGCCAAAAACCCAAAGAACTTCACCATACTTCACGAACCTGACCTATCTGACCTATCTGACCTATCTGACCTATCTGACCTATTATCAAAGCGAAAGATCAGAATCGCTGTCGCTTCGTCGGATCGGTTTCACCAGGATCCACACTGAACTAACAGCAGGGGCTCTGTGTAAGCCATCCCAGCCTTGGAAGCGGCAAAAAGACGTCAAAAACCACGTTACTGCTATGCCTGCTATGCCACATCGAAATTTCAAATCTAAGAAGAAACGATTTTGCAAAATTGAAAGTTTTGAAACATACATGACCGCATGACCAAACAAAGGGACAGTGCCAGGGAACAGATTGCGATGCAGGAGCTGCTTCTGGGGACAAACAAATCCTGGCGGGGGAAGAGTGGGATCTGATAAAAACATGTAAAAACCTGTAAAACCATGCAAAAAGCTGTAAAAACATGTGAAACACCGGTAAAAACATGTAACATCATGTAACATCAAGGCAAAAATGACCATTTGAACACATGCAAAGCACTGCAAGACATGCAAGAAATTTGAAAAACAAAGTGTAAAGATCTGTAAAGACTTCGTAAAGATTGAATTTCAGATTTCCTACGACGTTTTTCAGCCGTGACGGTCCCGCCTGTCGTGGACGAAGTTTCCCGTGACCTCCCCGGTGCCAAAGGCCACCGTGATCTGGTCCCGTGGAGCGCCTGACGCGTCGATGTCGACAGAGCGCCGTCTCCGTCGATCGAAACAGATGATTTCTATATCCTGACTACTGACTACTTAGAAACTGAGTATTTTAAGAAATTTCAAGACTTTGACTTGACATTTCAAGACACAGAATTGATAGAATTGATGAAGTCTGAAATAAAATTCATGTCATCCGTGATGTTTCACTGCTGTACCTGATCGCACAGGAGTACCATCGTAGTCGACGTCGATGGCTCCATCAGAGGCCTGCGAAATTTCGGACGAAGCATCTCTGTGCTGCATTTTCCTCGCGAAAAGACTAGTATCACAATGCAGATAATTCTTGGAGAATTCAGATTAATTCAGTACCCGTCTCCAGCTTCATTTTTCTGGCAATTCCACTAAATTGATTCACCTTGCCAACATATACCAAGTCTAAAAAGGCTTGAAACTGGCCATGGCACTGCACCTGTTTGTCGTAACGATTGTGAATGCGGCAGGTTTCGCTGTGACACCTGACGCCAATGGATCGTGACCACTCCGATGCGTGAAACCGGGCGACTGAGGCCAACGGCTCGCTCGAGGGGAGAATCACATGGCCTGGGCCGAAATCGGAACCGGAACCAGATGGAACCAGATGGAACATCGGCGAATCTTGGAAGGTTTCAACCAGCTTTGGATGACCAGTGATGACAAGCCGAATCACGTCAACTCCCTCGATGCCTGCCTGAACCAGTGTCGAATACTACTGAGAACTTCTGCTCAGGTTTTCCAACCTTACACAGAAAAGCAATGACTAAGTCAGAGCAAGTCTTCTACTTTCATCATTTTTCATCAGCATTGAATGTATTGAATGATTTGCACTTTCTTTCCCGCCTTCCAAAAAACAACCGAAATCTACAAAGTCGTCTGACTGTCTGACTTGACACTGCAATCAACTTAGTTGTTCAATATCGTGACAGTCGTGTGACCTCCCTTGACTTAAGAGGCCAGACTGCTACTGAGCCAAAATACACGCTCTTGTACCTCAGCCAAAGCCGATCAAAGCCGTCGGCCCGTGTCGGGTGTGTCGGATGTGTTTTGCTGTGTCCCGTCCCGTCGAGAAGGTGGCGAGATCCGATCATCATCACCCTGCACAGGCACGCGTTGCCTGTGCAACGGCACCTCAGCCAGCGACTGCCAAGCGCCAAGCGCCAAGCTGGGCCAAGCTGGGCCAAGCTATCCAAGCTCACAACTCACAACTTTTGCATGCCAAAACGAAGAGATGGTCGAAACACATGCGATGCATTCGCAGTCATTCGCATATGATATCTATGAGATGGTCCATAGATGTCCATAAAACGACAGATTCTGAAAGGCTCAACAAATGGCGATCATCTCCAAAGTGGAACCGTGACCGCTGGAAATGGGCCCAAGCTGGAGTGCTGGTGATTTTCAGCACCCAGAGCTTTAGACAACTTCAAATGCTCAGAGTGCTCTTGTTGACATGCTTTTAAAGTTCCCGAAGCTCTCATTATCTCTCATTATCTCTCACTAATCAAGATAATCAAGTGCAGTTCATTTCAAGGACATAGTGACATAATGTGACATAGCGTGACATACCGGGAACCCGGTAGTAAAGTGATCATCCCATCGTGTTCGAGTTGAGCTTCCAGCTACATGACGCGCCAAGACCTGCCCAAGGGTTGCAAGGCCCTTTGGAAGATTTGGAATATTTGGACAGATTTGATCAGATTTAAATTATCATATTCTGATGATTTCTGATGGCCGTACTATACAGTGTGCATGTTTCTAATGTGGGGCTTCAACGAATGACGAATGGTCTCACACTGAGCTCAGGTTCGCACAGCGGGCACAGTAAGTACAGGAAGGAGCGTGACCAGCGTGACCAGCATCAAGCTTCCTGGCTGACCACATGGCACCACTGTGGCTAGATGCCTTTTCAGCTTGATTCAATTCGGATGTGCAGAGCCTTGAAAGGCACTGGCAAGACGTTGCTGGCTGTCTGTTCGAAGCACTTCAGCACATAGCTTTCTGCAACATGTGGGGATGGGTCAAAACCGTGGCACCTAGTGAACCCCAAAATAGCTGGTAAATGGATGTTCATCCCATTAGAATTGATAATAATAGGTTTTAACCCATACCCACATGTCTTTCGATGCTAAGCGTGGCATTGACACCGCGAGGGAAACTCGTGGACGCCTCGGCCGACTATGAGAGCTTCATCTGATGTGCACAGCTTCACCGTCACCAACCATCCAAAAGATATTCGACACATTTCTACACGCTGTCTTTCGACCCTCCAAATGAAAAAACATAAAAAAAAACATGTGTGTAAGGCGCAGAAGGCATAGAACTTCTTCGTTCTTTTGAAACTTTTCATCCGATTTCATCTCCAGTTCCCACATTTCCCACGTTTCCCACATTTCCCACGTTTCCCACATTTCCCAGCCAAGTTGCGGAAGGATCCGCAGAATTTAGTATGTAGCCAAAGCGTGAGTCCGAGCGGTGGCTTCGCAGTCGCTGGCTTCTAAGTCTTAACAGATCGAGATCGAGGTCCAACAAAATCCAACAAGATCCGTAACACGCCAGCAGACTGCTCACCACCAGCCCAGTATGGATTCGCTCTCTGATGAAACGTGGATTAAACCGTTCTGAGCCAATCGATGGATGCCAGTTGCCAGACATCTGAGTACATCGCAACATCAACGACGCAGCACCACACAAAAGCAGGCAGTCTTTGGAACAGGAAAAACGAAGGCACATGTGGTGAAGCAGATCATGAAAGGAAAATGTGAAAGAATCCAGATACCAAAGATGACGGTATTCTCAGATGTTTATGGGAATATCTTTGGGGAATAGTGTTCGTATCATTTTCCTTTTCCTATCTCGGTTGGGTTGTCGTATGATCTTATCTTCGCATGAGCCTGATGCTTAGGGCAGAAACAAATGCGACACATGAATGTGCGAGTACTGAATTGCCTCCATTTTTACCTGCAAAGCTGTTCTGGAACAGCTCTTGGTGAGACAGAGTGCTTCTTTGATGTGCACAAACAATGGCATAAAAGGACTAAGCTAGACATGGTTGCTTTCAAAAACTGTTCAAACCTTGCGTAGAAACCTGAGGTTGATCTAAAACGACCACAGCAAATCGCATGTGTCTCTCCACTACTCTGGGACTAACTTTGGCCCAATTGAAGCAGCATTGCGTGGCAACTGCCACTCAAAGGAAACGAATCTCATTCCTGGCGCCACAGTGGAGTCTCTTCTTTTGAGCTAACTGGCGGAGACACTGGGAATACCCTGGAAATAAACAAAAACAACAAGGGAAAAAACGAACAAGATGCGAAAAAAGCCTGGGCTATGTGGCTATGTGTGCTGTATACTTCAGGTCCCACGAAATTCAAGGCTTTGTCACTTAGAGGGGTAGATTTTGTGGCGCTCCGCAGGACAAAGAATCCGAGAGCTCATGACTTGGGGAGTATTTTTTGCCAGTGTTAGATGATGTTTTCATGGTCCTTAGTTTCCAGCAAACATCAGCAAACCGACAAAGTTGTTTCATGTTGTTTCCTTTAGCTGAGATGAGCACCAGCCGAGCAGCCGAGCAGTCAGAGAAAGTCCAGGGCACGACAGATCTGTCTGTCTTTGAGCTTTGAGTCCTGCAGTTCACAGCCGTTGTGACAAAAACAGAACCACATACTGGTCACATATGGTCACATATGGTCACATACTAGTACGTCAGGAGGCAGAACTAGCTCAGAATGTACTGATACCGGATACCATCGGATACCTTGGTTTCATGAAAATCGACAAGTTGATTGATGTCACATTTTTGACATGTGTCACATGAAAATCACGAAGGTTTACTCAGTTTACTCGGATCCTCATTCTCTGGCAGAAAACACAACTTCCGCACTTGAGAGTTTGCTTCGTTGACGTCTCGCTGCATATCTGCCAGCCTTTCAAGCACATACCGGAGCGATTCATCAAAGCGGAAAAAACTTGAACAAAGTCCGAGTACCTCTCTGAAATCAGCTAACACACTATCCTAGTGAAGTGCGATACGACGGCACAGATCTCGATTGAATTCCCTCGTGCCAAGTGCCGTCCAGGAGCTGCTTCATGAAAACGAAGAAAGGAGGTGCTGTCCAAGCATCCATCATTTGAAAGCCTCCCATGCCGCCCATGCCCATGCCACCGCCCATGCCACCGCCCATGCCAGGGCTCATGCCACCGCCCATCCCGGGGCTCATGCCCATTCCACCGCCACCCTTGCCACTTCTGGCTTGATACCTTGGCATGTGGCACATTCTGACACCATTTCTTCATGCTCCTTTCACATCAAAATCATCAAAAAAAACATCAAATCACAAATCACTGTGCATCACTGTGCAAGAAACTCCAACCTACACAAAGCCTCAAAACCATGCTAGACCGGAAGGTAATAGAAACCCGTATATAAATACCAATGTTTTTGGGCATCTTGCAAGCCAGAGTGGACGCCCAACCCTCACAGCATCGCCAGTGTGCGAAGCTCTACAATTCATGTTTGAACCATATCCCGAAGTATGATGTGTGATGCGATGTGATGTGTGACATGTGTTGTGCACATCGTGTTTCGTAAATCTTTTTATTTCGAAGTGTGATTCGCACTGACAGTCGTCAGTCTGAGTCGCTTGTTGTACATGTGCCCTGCAGCAGCTCCAGCAGCAGCTCCCACCATCGAGGTGAGCTTGCAATTCATACTGCAGAGCCTCGTTTCGCCGTCGAGAAGGGCAAAAAACAGTGCCGAAAGCTGAAAAAAACGAGAAGTTGATTGAAGAGGACCAGAAGGACCAGAAGGACCAGAAGGACGAGGAGACATTGACATTCGAAACGGAGGCATTCTGAGGCATTCTGAGGCATTCTGAGGCTCAGGCTGCCTTTCTATCGTACTGATCCTGAGCTCTCGAGCCCATGAGGGGATTGGCTCGGATTCATTTGCGCTTCGCAACTTGGCAAGGTCGAAGCCGCCAAATTTGCCAAATACAATCACCAATGAATGGATCCATTCATATCCATGAATGTCCATTCATATCCATGAATGCCATCATAGCATCTGCTTCTGGAGTTTTTCCATGCCATCGGCAGCATTCTCTTCGTCTTTAGCGTCCTGTGGCACTGTGGTGCGGTCAGTTTGAGTCGCAGTGTGCCACCAGCAACTCTTTGGATGGGCATGTTTTGGTCCTTCTCATCTTTCTTCATAAAGAGACTCAAGGGATTCATAGCCTCAGCTCGGGGCGAAGAGAACCTGAGTCTATATTGCATATATATATATATACAGGATGGTGCCCCCCAGTTATAAGTTGGTTTATAAACCCCATTAACTATAGTTATATCTACCATAAACCATAGTTATGGGAGTTATAAACCAACTTAGCTAACTATGGGGCACCACCTTGTAGATATATATATATATATATATACATAATATATAATATATGTATACTGTGTATACATCTTAATTCAACGTCATTCATATTCCACATCCCGAATCAAAAACCTGTTGCTTCATCCTCCAAGGCGCTCCCATCATGCCACCAATGGCTCCAGTGACGCCACCAGGGCAGTGGGTCTGACAGAGCAGAAACGCCAGACCTCCCGCCGCAGCAGCACCTGGACGGCAAATTTCGAGCGTTTTCTGTTTCGATGATTTTCGATCACCGTACCTTTGCTCATGTTATTGTTGTCTATATTTGGTTTCTATTGTTTTGTCTGTAAAATATTTGGGCATCTTACCTGAAACATCTTGAAAAAGCTATGAAAAAGCTAAACAGCTACAGCTAAATTGTTACAACAACACTGAAGTGGTAAACAGAAATGGCATTTGTGTCCTGGGTTGGCCTCCTCCCACTGCCCCGATCATAGAGGTGGGCTCCTGAAATCGGGTGCTCGCGTTGGATCGGAACTGAAGTGACTTCGATGTCAAAAGGCATTGCGATTTTATGATATTTTATCACTTTGTCAAACTTTGTCACCTCTATCTCAGAATAAGTCTCAGCAAGTCTCTCCAACGTCCCATGGTTTTCATGGAGTTGTTCCATTGGTTTTTCCATTGGTTTTTCCATTGGTTTTTCCATTGGTTTCTCCATTGGTCCTGCAATTCTGTCGAAAGCCCGCCATGCCCTATGCGGCTCTTGAAGATGGGCGGCATGGACGGTGTCGCTCTGGGCGGGGCACAACTCAGCCACGACCCGAACTGATCCCAAGCGACGATGCGTTGTGCGGTTGTCGCTGTGATGGATGTGCTTTCTTTATCTTTCCTCATTTCATTCCGGGTTTTTGCTGTGTGTTGTTGCGATTCTTTTTGTATGTTCGAAATTTGCTAGTAGGTGCCTCACATCAGCAAATCATGCATACATCGATGCAAATCGTGTTTTTCTACCAGCTTGTGCGAGATATTGCGAGATGCTGACGCTTCTGATGAGTCTTGGTTTGCTTTACCTTGGGGACGGCACTGTTCACCCTGTCTTGGGCTGAAAACAAGCGAGGGAGGATCAATTCAAGGCCAAATATGCCGTGTGTTCATATGAAGCATGATAGTCTAATGATAGTCTTGGTATAGCACATGCTTTGCGTCATATTCCGTCCATCTTGGTCTTTACCTACTCTCCGCGGACAGAGACTGCAAAGACTGTAACAAGATGCAACAAGCACACAACAGCACAGGTTTCGCGCAGCTGGCAGTACGTCTCAAGACGCTCTTTGGCGTTCACGTGACGCGAATGTAATCGTTCGCCTTGCAAGGTGGGCAACTCTGCGTCATCATGACCAACAGCAGTCACAGTACGTCTCAGTGTCTGCAAAAACTTTCAAGGAGAAAGAAGCAGCCTGCACAGGATCTCTGTCCCGATGGTACTGGAACAGGCTGGGTCAAGCACACCGAAACATTTGCAGTCATGCAATATCATGCAATATCATGGAAGATCATGATTATCGTGCATTATCATGCAATATCATGCAATATCATGCAATATCATGCAATATCATGCAATATCATGCAATATCATGCAATATCATGCAATATCATGCAATATCATGCAATATCATGCAATATCATGCAATATCGTGCAATATCGTGCAATATCGTGCAATATCGTGCAATATCGTGCAATATCGTGCAATATCATGCACGTATGTGTATATATATATATATAGTTGTTTATTTAAATTTAAATAGTTATTTAAATAGTTATTTAAATTTAGTATATGTTATTTCACCCTCTTTCCGTCCTACATCCCTTCCGCTTCCGTCCTCTGGCAGCAGCCCGTATTGCATGCCAATGCACACACCGCCCATGCCTCTGACTAATCTGAATTGGTGATGTATTCTGAATCAAAAGTCCATAGTCCAACATAGTCCAACGCCCTCACCGATCCATCTGCAACGAATCTTTTCCTGCCTTTCACATGTTCTTCACATCTTTCACATCGTCCCTGTCCATGTCCTCCATGTCCCTGTCTTTCTCCAAGGTTTGAGGCGTTGAGTGACCCCACAGCACATGTAGCAACCCACCAGGAAGGTCAAGGAGTAGGTGTCCAAAGAGAGGTCGAGTGACCCCTGAGCGTCTGCAATGTGACCGGCAAGTCTAAAAGGAGGTGCCAAGAGGGCCGAATTGAGAGCCGAGTTGAAATACAGAGAGATTACAGTCTTCAGTGACTTCAGCATTTCAGCACACAATTTTGGAGAAGTGAAGCAAATGAGAGTGTAAAGGAGTTGACCACAAAGGACTATCAAAGAAAACAGCCGGAATCTCACATAGTCATACATAGTTTGGTGACTCTGCCTTTGTTATCTTTGTTGACTCAAAACAAGCTTGAATAGGTGAAATATGGTGAAATCAGATTCGTTTTAAACACCGTCACTTCACATTTCAGCAAGCCGTGCCTAAATTGGTGAAGTTCCACTGGGCATGTTTCGGCTCGCCTGGAAGAGGTAGAACAATCCTCGCCTCGGACGAGCGTGTTGACAGTATAACATGATGTCATCGCACAAATAATCTTAATATATCATAATAATCTTATATCAAAACATCTACATGATTAATATATATATATATATTAATATCAGATAATCATACAATATCATAATATATCATACAATCATAGATAAGCCTACTGTAGGTTTGCGTCCATGTGTCACCTTCCATGAAGTCCGTATCGGTCTCTCGTGTCAAGGCCCCTCGAGCCCCCCCGACCCGCCAAAGGTCGTCAAGAACTTGGCAAATTCGTGGATGAAGCGCTGGGCCTGAATGGAATGGCAAAAGACTGCAAATGAAAAATAAAATATGAAGACTGAAGTGACTCAAGGGGCTGAAGTGATTGAACCATATTGAAACCTTGAATATGCAATATGCTCTGAATATCTCTGAATATGCAATACTGCAGTGTGCACTGCAGTTTGCAGAGTGGAGACAAGTCGATACATCCATCGTACATCGTACATCGTGCATCGTGCCTTCTCCAGTCTGGCGTTGCTTCCAAGCCACTCTGGTGGAGCCTGACATGGCGAAATCTCGTCGCTGTGCATCCGACGCCCTTGACGCGGTGCGCCTCGAGGACACATACGACCAAACCGAAGCCAGTTTGATAGGCATTCACCAAGTACCTGCCACGTGGCCATTTGGATTCATTTGGGAGCGCATATGAGCGCATATGTGCAGAGTTGCAGCTGGCGGGTCACTGTAGCGGGCTCATCAGGATTCCAGCAATGTCCAAGAAACCCAGCAATCCAAGAACTCAGATGCCGCATGCAGCCGGATGCAGCCGGATGCAGCCGGATCATAGGTCGCTGCTCCCCTTTGACACAGCTTTACTCTGGGCACTGGACAAACAGAAGCAGCGCCACCGACGAAGCAAAGCCAACCTCAGAAACAAATAGAAACAATGGAAATCCAAGTCGGGTTCGGGACAGGATGGAGCTGTGAGCTTGTTGAGCTTGGGATCCGTTTTTGCTCAGGGTCCAACCCACACCTTCTGGACCTCGCTGAATATAGTCCTTCACCTTGCTACAGTAGCACAAGGCACCAGTATGCACCAGTGTGCACTATGCGCCAGTCAGTACCGACAAAGACTTCCAACAGACTCGCAACATGGGTGTCGATCTGGAAAGCTCCTTGAACATTGTCGTCTTAAACCCAATTTGTAGAGGGTTACGTGAGGATTACGATTTCGATTCAGCAGACATCAGCAGACATGATGGATTTGATCGCCCTTTTTGTGGAGGCACTGCCCGGACCTTCCCCGCCATGTCCATGGTGGTGGTCAATGCGCTCGTGCTGAGCTCCTTGAACTGCAAACGGTCAACAGAGTCAAGCTATTTTATTCAAATATGCTTAAAACGCATATCAAATGCATATGAAATGCAATTAAATGCATTTAAATACTATCGATGTCGACCATAGACCGAGAATGCCATCGTTTTGGTCAATCATGGCTCATCCACTGGGGAAAACCCCAGCAGTGGCTTGGATGGCTTAGGGCGATGCTTTTTTCGACACAACGGTCCTTGGCAAAAGTAAATGCCACGTTGGCTTGGTTGTCATTGAGATCCATGACCTGGCCCATTTGCACATGGATGGATCTGCTGAACGAATGCTGAACACATTGCCAAAGCATTTGTTTCCCTTGACTCTCTAAAACAAATGTCTCACTCTACACTTACTACCCTTCGCAACTCCGCGATCCAATTAGGAGCATTCCTCCAAAGCAATCAAGTATGATCAAGTCATATCTTCACACCTCTGCATCACTTCTAATCTCTTTTCTCCCACGGTTTCTCAAACCTGCCTCCCACGCTGCGAACTTCGCGAACTAAGAACTCGTCTAAATTTTGTGAGATTCCTATGGCAGTCTTGACATCTGTCGGTTCTGTGTATGTATTCTATACAAATGTCTGCGCAGGAAGCCCATGTTTGTTCACATGTTTCATTCCTGGCTTACGACCACTACTTGAGTCAAGGGCAAATCAAGCTGAGACCCTGAAGTATCTGAAGTGTGCAACAAGCAGAATCTAACATGGCCAACAGGATATGTTGCACGCAGGAGTAGTGGAACTATCCTCTGAACTCTGGCAGTTGCATCACCCCTTTTTCCTGTCGATTTTGAAACGATCCGCGCTTGAAATCTGGGTGATACGCGAAATCCCCCTAGCACCCCTGGGAGTTCGCAAGGAATGCCACAAGGTCCGCACAATCCTGCAGCCGCTCCGGGATAATTCAGCTGATGCAGTGTCAAACACTGAAGCAAATGCAACGTGTATACCTAGACTATATATCTGTGTCAGATCATTTAAAGAAATACATACATACATATTATTGTAGTTTAGATTAGCTTATATGTATACATATAATTAATTATAATTATACATATATATACACATATGTATATATATGCTCAATGCCTCCTCGTGGTCCATGCCACGGAAGGTCATGCAGGACCTCAGAGAAACAGATGCGAAAATGTGGGTCAGATGTCAGCGACTGATTCCGCCCATGAGGCAGGGACCGGTCTTGGCGCTTTTGAGGCCTCGCTTCATTTTTGGTGGACAAAGCTTGGGGGATTGGAAAAGGCAGCAAGTCGTGAGCCTTTGCTCATTCCCATCCAGTCAATCCACTCCATAAATCCGTATAAATATATATAAATCATCATAAATCAATTTATAAATCCCTAAAATGCAATACATAACACACTTTCAAATTGACGGCAGGCATAGCACCAGACACCACATCAGCAGGACGCCGGAGCCACAACAGCAAGGTCTCCTTGCTCCAAATCACCCGAAATTCCTGGCGGAGCACGAAAAATCTCTCCTGACTCTCCCGACTGAAATTCCAGTCCTCCAGGCGTTGAAAACTGCCACCCCATTCCTTCACCTGCCAAGGATCCCATGGTTCCCCCATGGTTCCCCATGGTTCCCCATGGTTCCCAGGATGGTTTCGATAAAGGGCTCAAATCTTGTTGCGCAAGTGTACCATGTTGTACCATGTTGTACCATGTTGTACCATGGCACCTTGCTACCAGAATTGGAGCCAACGACGCCAAAGAGGTTTGGTCCACGGATTGTGCCTCTGCCTCAGTGTTCCATTCAGAGTTTCAGAAGATGCTACTTAATCCTGCAACATACCGCATCTCTACATCGCTAAATGGATTGACTCCCGCGACTCCCGCCTTCCGTTTTGAAAGTGTGGCACTGGGAACCTCGACTCAGAAAAATCACCACCGAAATAGTACCAAAATAAGTAAAGGCTTAGTAAATGATACATGGAGTTCAACCATGTTCAATTAGTGTTCAAAACTCAGCGCTCAACAATACTTCTTGAAGATCGCTTGCCTTGAGATGTTTTTTCTCGGACACGCAGCATGTACATTTGAGTCACTTGAGTCAAAGCCAGTTCTCACAGCCAGGCTGCCCTCGACGAACATTGAAAGGTATCTCTGCTACCAGCCTTGAAAAACCAAAGACAGCAACACAGGCGATCTGCACCCATGCTTATTCCATCTTATTCCATTCTTTACAATCGCAGAATCACCAAATTTCAAGACACAGATATTGAAACATGCTCTTCACAGCTCACCGGCTGGAACTGCATCGTTGCGACTAAGACGACTAAGAAGACTAAGACTAGGACTCGGGTGGAGGTCGAGGCGGTGGCGGCGGCGGCGTGGCCGCCATTCCATCGAGGAAACACCCAGAAATCCAGACTTCATGAGATTTCATGAGATTTCTGTGTCGAAAAATGTGTAGCTCTTTGAGGTATTTTGGAGCTGCCTTTTCTATCAAGTTGTGCAGGGATCTATAGTGGCTCCGGCTCTGGGCCTGCTGCTTTAGAACTGTAAAGAAGATCTGCATAGATTTTTCTTCCGCAAGTTTCGAACACTGTTCGATGCTGCGAGTTAATCATGACTTAGACTTTCAATCTGATGTTGTGCTGTGTCCGGTGATTGACCAATCACAGCGCTGCCTTGGTTGACGAAGCTTGAGTCCAAAGAGAATGGATCAACTTGGATCAACTTGCTTGAAGCCTCTTGAAGCATCTTGAAGCATCTTGAAGCCTCAGTACGGTTTCAAGTCAAATCAACACAGCCAAGTCCCAAATACATCTTATCTTCACCGTCTTCACCGTCTTCAACCCTTCTTTCTCCAGGCGCACGGTGTGGCAGAAAAAGGCTTCAAAGCCGGGAGGAATGCAGGAGTTTTCAAAGAGCTTTTACCAACTTGATGAAGCTATCAGGAAAGGCGAACGTCAATTGTTTATGATGTCCATGTCATTCCATGTCTATTTCACGGGTTTGCACACCTTCCTGCATAACGGGACCCTTTAAATAGAGGGATAGGGATGGGATAGGGTATGTCATGTCGCTGTCTTAGTCTCGTGTCGAATCCAGACTCTCAGAGCGTTGAAAAAAAATGTTCGCCTCACGACACATCGATGCGTCGATGCGGAGCTCGATAGAACCGATAGAAGTCAGTCCAAAGAGTCCATAGAGTCGTAGAAGAGTCGTAGAAGAGTCATAGAAGTCCATAGATTCTCTATGAATGCTGATATGAATGCTGATTGGAGCACACACATGCTCTTGGAGATGCCCTGAGTCCGATTTCCGTCATTTTTCTCTTCCGTTTTTCTCAACTTCTCTCGTGAGCTCTGAGCTTTCAAAGGAGCAGCTCGTTGTCCTCTCCGGCCTGTGGTCAAGGATCTTTGGATCTAGACATCTAGTCATTCCACAACGTGTGAAAGAAAAGTCTCAACGCCGCGCCGAAGCACAGAAGCACCTTGGCTGAAAGACTGAGAGCAGGACGTGACTAAAGCTTCGTGTCAGTGACAACGCCATGAACCTTCAAGGTGGTACATCAGACTGTCAGATACAGCCAGAAGACAGTAGTTTTTTGAATATGTTTCCACATGTTTCCACATGTTTCCACATGTTTCCACATGTTTCCACCATTTTCAAATGGCAAATGTTTTTAGAGATCAACAGACCCGTTTGGCCTCAGCACATTGTTGTCACTGTAGAGCTTTCTTTGGATGTATTGTGTGGCCGTAACCTCGGGGCGGAGAGCCGAGTCGCCGAGTCGTCGAGTCGTCACTACTGGAGCGTTTCTTCGTCGTTTCTTCGCATCAAACCCCGCTCTGCAAAGATGCGGACCGGAGCCTTGAATTTGAACTCCACCATGTAGGCCTCAAACAAGCCACGCAAAAACACCGCAACGCGAAAGAAAGCTGTCGCAGAAAATATTTGGCAGTCACTCTGCAGGCGTTGATATCATCTCTTGGTTTCTCTTGGTTTCAGTATGTGTCAATGCGGAAGAAATTTCTGAGACGATCGCTCTTTGATACTTGTTCTTGCCTTTCTGCTCTCTTGGGATCTGAGCAGCGATACTTCGGCACATTTCACTCACCACATCGCACCACTCTCACTTCATTTTCATCAGGACATCACTTGACATCACTTGACATCACTTGACAGCACCTCGCCATACTCTTTCATTTCATACTCCAGTGTGGTGATTTTCTGCCGGTCAATGGGACTTTTCCTGGCGATGTTTCAAGGCAAACAATTCAAAGTGTAGCGCTTCGGACACTTGTTTCAGAGTTGACTAGTTAACACAATCCAAAGTAGCTTAAAACCAAACTTAAAAACGGAAAATGGTTCTGTTACATCAGGTTGACCGTCTCAGCCTCGGAGTGATTTGGATGTCTCTGCAAGACATCTTCTTCCTCAGCTTGCGAAATCTGCATTCAAACATGTGCCGCATCCCTTCTGATATCGAGAGCTCCTATGTCACTTATAGATACTTATAGCCATTTCAATCTGTGTAATTCTTTAGGTCTGGGTAAATTATAGTAACTCGCGTACCTGAAATAATGCCATTTTGGGATAGTTGCCCTCAAGACAACCATCATTCCATCATTCCAGTGAGGTCGCAGTGAGGTCGTTATAGTTTCCCTAGTTATGTGTCTTTCTGGTATTGTAAATTCTCCTCATATATTCTGAGATACCAATTGTTGCGTTGACTTTGTGCAACCGAAATGATGCTCCAGGGGGTCAGGATGATTCAGGATGCGTGGGCTGCTATCTTGCAGTGAGCTGTACCGTTGACATCCGAAGGGTTTTTCTCAGGACATGGCTTCAAGAAGTACCAGTACTCTGCGACTGTCTTCTTCAGGTCGAGAGAATTGCGACTGAGCACACTGCTGGCGCAACTGGCACTGCAGAAAGAAACCGAAATCCGAAACCCACACAGAAACCCTTAGAAAGCACCCCTTTCCTTGCTACAACTGGCTACAACATTGGCATTCTCAACACTCCAAGAATAGTCTCCATGGCAAACACTTGGCCCAAAATTCACGAAAGCACAAGACAGAGAAGGCAACACTGCTTTTGCAGAATGCTTTCCAAGGCTGCGGCATGGCAGGTTGTTTGAACATCACATAGTAGAGATACCTCCGGAAAACTGCCCTCCACCAAAATGGTTTCATGGTCGGTCACTGCAGGCAATTGCCAACTTCAACGAAAAGAAAAAAAATATCCTCAGAAACAGTGGATAGTGTATTTATTTGTACATCTATGCATGGTTGTGCATTGCACATCAAGCTTTCTCTTGGGAACCTTGTGCTTGGAACCCTTTTGTAGCCAACCCGATTTTTCTTAAAGCATATCATATCTTTGGGAATCTGCAGTTTGGTCCCTTCCTGAACCTTCTTCAAAAACTTGTCTTTTGGGAACCTTGTCTCGTATCCATGTCTGAACCAAAAGAAATGATTCGTCAACCAACACTGCTTGGGCAAAGCAAAGGTGAGCACCGGAAGAGTGTTGTGGTATTTGTTCCAAGGGTCTGGTGGATTTAGTCCTTTGTTTAGTTGCTGGGGCCTAATTGTTTTTATCATTCGGTTGCTGAATCACATTTTTTGGTTGCTCAATTGGCAAAAGGTCGTTTCAGAATCGTGGTCTTGTCTTTCGGTGGAATCCTTTGCTCAAGAACAATCTTGTCTCATTCTTTGTGTCATTGGGACCCTTTCCGCCGGGATGTTGAGAAAACCTCGTGTTTGAAAAAGTCTTGCGCTTGGAAACCGAGCAAGGAATCCAGGGAAACCCACACAAGCTTGAAACCTGTAACCCAGGGACCTTACCACAGCAGACCCCAAGAGCATGCTCTGGGCGAAAAAGAAAGAGGCGACAGAATCACAATTTCATTTGTGTGCAGCATTACATACCTAGTCAGTCTGATGTATTGTACTTGATACGTGTCCATGTGGTGTATATTATATGTATGTATGTATATATACATACATGTATTAATCATATATATATATAAGTATATTATTGATAGGTTTTCTAGATACATAAAATTCTAGCCACATTTTGTAGATATTATATATATATATATCGTGACAATTAATGATGTATATGCTACCTGCAGGGCGCCTCTTGCGACCGCCAATGGGGTCCACATCAGCATCCCCAGTAAACTGCCTGTTGTAGATGTCCTCGAGCTGATCGCTTCGCATATCGAAAGATATCGAAAGAAACATTTGAAGTTTTCTCTCCTGAAAATCTTTCTCTTAAGATCCCTTTGATTTCTTTTGAAGTTGTCTTCATCAAACAGCTCTGAACAGCTCTGGATTCCGCTTCAGCTCCTCCAGTGCCGGGAGTTTCTTCAAGTCTGCCGTAGGGATGTTCTTAGCCCACATGCCATGCGGTGCCACTGGAGAGACGAAGAGGTCGTAGGAAGACATGAAGAGAAAGAGACACCAAACACCAACTTTGTATCTGGCATGTTTTGACATCATATAATTTGTATATATAACTTGTACTTATACATAACCTATATATATACACCTATATATACCTATATATACCTATATATACCTATATATATATACACCTATATATACCTATATATACCTATATATACCTATATATACCTATATATACCTATATATACCTATATATACCTATATATACCTATATATACCTATATATACCTATATATACCTATATATACCTATATATACCTATATATATACCTATATATACCTATATATACCTATATATACCTATATATACCTATATATACCTATATATACCTATATATACCTATATATACCTATATATACCTATATATATACCTATATATATAACCTATATATAACCTATATATAATCTATATATAACCTAAATATGTGTGTGTATATATATATACATATATGACTTATACATGACGTATAGAACATCATGTAACCTGAGGTTCAGACTCCCATCTCGGTTTGTTGTCGGACCCATGTACTATTTTGGGAGAACTCACGAGCGTAATCGCGCTTCTCTTGACGAAGCCGGGCCAGACGTTCCCGGTCCTGTGCGACAGCAACGGTGACAAACCGCATGGTCAACACATCAAGATGTTGCACTGCACACTGTCACACCGCACTGCTGAACACCATTTCACAATGGCAACAGTCCTCATTGCTGTAGTAGGGGGAAACGCTCCTGCCACAGGCAAGATGTTCAATGGTCTTTATTTTCCGTTTCTTTGGGGTTGTTTTTAGAAAAGCAGTAGCACTGGCAGAAGGCACGAAAATGTGACAGACATCATTCGCTCCTCCGAGAATTCACCTTGGGTCCTCTCGCATACCTGGGCCATAACAAGCGATGCAAGCGAAAGGGAGATGGATACTGCATACATATTCATATATATATATATGTATATATTATTATATATATATAAATACATATGTTTTGTCTAGATAGTTGCAGATTGTGTTGAATGATTGATATTTGATTGATAAAAGAGTGCTTCAATGTGTTTGAATGGGCCATCACATCAGTTTCTGGTGGGAACCACCGTCACTTTTACTACGCTTCCAAAGCTCTAAATCTAGAGGTCAGCTCTCTTACTTTGCCACATCTTCAAAGTGAACAAAGTTCCCTTTGGACCAGCCTTGTCACAAGCGAAGCGGACGCTTCCTCAGGTCAAATTTCAACACACAGGATTTGAGTGTCTGCAGTCTGCAGTCATTGAGAAAAATGGAAAAAATAGGAACAAATGAGAATGTCAAAGCAACTTGTCTGCAATCGTGGAGCCTCGGAAAGGAGCGGGGAGCGCAAACCAGGCTGACCTGAGATCAAAAATCCTTCGAAAGGAAAAACCAAACGCCCATGAGACTTGCTGCATATTCAGTCACTGTGACTCACCTTACAAAAATGCAAATTGCACAAATATGTGTCGCATTCTGTCAAAGCTTTGCAGTCACAATCTGACTGGGCATCTGTTTCACATCTGTTGACATTCCAAGAAAGCGTATTTTCACCTGTTACTCCGAGTACTCCTCCTGAAGGCCGGTTCTAACTCCTCGTTTCGGGAATGGCTTAGGCCACCGGCTAGGCATGACGAAGGCCTCAAAAGCGGTTCCGACAAGGTTCCGTCACCGCAGTGCGGTTCCGACGCGGTGACTTTCCGAGGTCTCGACCCCGAAGAATCCGAATCCGCATCCACAAAGTGCCAATGCTCCTTTTCGAAACGAAATGAACATTTTAAGCTGCATTCAAATCATCTGGCAAATCAATGCAAATCATCTAGCACAACATTTAAATCTTCAAGACATGGACAGTCCGACAGTCCGGACATGTTCGGACATGTTGGTTGGACTCAAAAAAATCCGAACCTGCAAGACTCACGCGTCGACGCTCTGCCGACCTGGCTGAGTCGTTCGACAAGGACAGAGTGCGACAGTGTGACAGAAAGGATCTGCCACAGCACCTCCGAACATCTCGCGGCTCCATCACAGCCTCAGCAGTACTTGTGACAGGCGGCAGCTCCCAAATTTCAGAGAACTCGCCTCTGAAGTTCAATAAGTTCAATGGGTGTTCAAAGAAAATCAAGGAATCAACTGAATCAACGTGACTCGAGCAGACGCGGTGGCAATTGCAAACGCAAACTGCCTAGCAACAAGAGCAGAGCACCTTAAGATCGTCCTTGCGAAAAGTCTGTCCCCACACCATACACACCATATGACATCGAGAACAGAAAATTGTTCAGAACATTGCCTCCCTTTTCAGCGACATGATGGCTTAATCCCCGACATGAATCCTTTCACGGACCTTTGGATCAACTTCAATATGTATGTATAGTGTATAGTGTATAGTATATTATATAGTATGTAGTATATAGTATATAGTATGTGGTATATAGTGTATAGTGTATTGTTTATAGCATATAGTATGTAGTCTATAGTATATAGTATAGCACTGTACAGTAGAGTATAGTATAATATAGTCAAGTATAGTATAGTATAGAATGCATATACATACATATCTACATATCTACAGTAATCAATTGTCATCCAGTTTCACTGCGATTCAAATGACTCCTGTGTCTGTTCCAGCTTGGGCTTGCGACCAGCAGCTGAAACGCAGCAGCTGCTCTTTGCTTAGTCTAACTTGAGCCGTCTGAACACATCGGGACACGATCCTTCGGTGTGATGTGTAGCCTGGACCCTACTGGACCCTACTGCATGTTCTCACACCCTTCAAGCCATGTCCTTGTTATCCAGTGATTTCACAAGGTTTGACTAAAAAAACTTGAAAGCTTCGAGTTCTGCCATGCGGTATACTGTGCTCACTGTGCTCACATCGCAACGGTCATCCATTTTCACTTGCCGTGCTTTCCGTGTTTTCTGTGCTTTCAAGCACAGTGTCATCGGAGTGTGGCACATCGGAGGCTTGATCCCAGGGGAGCTCCTGCAGACATCTACAAACATCGACGGCGAGAAAGGCTACAAATTGGCTGCGCACTACACATTCGCTGCATCTGGTGCTACATACAGCACTACATAAAGCACCACATAAAGTGCTACATAAAGTGCTACATTTAGTTTTATGCGTGTTACACGTAGCGCTATAGCCGCACATCGGGCGATCGAGCGAGGCAAGGAGTAGCCAGGGAGAAGTTGTGAGGTCTGTCGACAGAGCCCAGAGTCGGCCTGCTTCACAACCTCTGGCACAATGGCAAGGGCAAAGAGCTTCCTGGCATAGCTGGTACCCTCTGGTAAACTAACATAACTATTTAAAATCACCATTTTTAATGGGAAAATCCACTATAAATGGGCCATTTTCAATAGCTATTTTGACATAACCAGAGGGTACAGCATGCTACAGCTGGTGGCCACAGATGATCAAAGATGATCAACGTACCAGCCTTTGTGCCATTTGCCATGCCATGAAGTTGTCTACCGGCTCATCAACCGGCAGGAGCTCTAGAAGCCTTGGTAAATACTCAACAAGCGACACAGCCATGACACTACCAAAATGTGAGAAAATGTGATATCCAGTAGCAATCCACTCAATCCACGATTACTTTCTGGATATCACTATCATTTACCAAAATGAAAGATCGCAAATATGTGACCAGAATCCAAAGATCACAATCCATCGCCACTTCAGCCTGAGATGATCCGTGAGCCCGAGCCCTCTGCTTTTTTGCTCCATGGGGCCATAGTACGTAGGCAACCGTCCTTGACAGAAACATAAGGAAACCTGTACCACGACTTTCAGGATACAAAAAGCACTTCTATGTGTTTCGATTGCACATTGAAATCTTCGAAATACGAAAGATATCGAAAGTGTGCGATTTTTCTCGGTCTGCCACGTCCAAAGATACTCAGCTTCGTAAAGTCCAGGTTTCTTCTTCTGCCTGGACACAAGGCACTGCTTGAAGCAATTCACTGGTACCAATCCTGTTTGGTGTTGTATGGTATCGTGGCAACAGACCATCAGGCCCCACACCAGCGGAAACCCCGAAGCGGCACAGTTACGTAGTGCAGTGAATGCGAGAACTTTGGCACGACGCTTGCCATGTGAGGACTCAAAACTGAACAAAAGTCTGCCGACCCTGACCGTCAACATGTGGACAACATGTGGACAACATCTGGACAACATGTCAAAACATATCAAAACATGTCTACCAAAAAGTCTACCAAAAAGTAATGTGTCCAAATGTGTCAGCACCTCCATGGGGCACCTGGGATGTGTCCCAGGTACAGCACATCTGCTCCAAGGGCTTCTGCTTCTGGTAGCTTCTGACGCAAGCGCTGTCCAAAGCTCTTTGTAGGTACCGCATCATCCTGGAAGTCCGGAGAGCGTCGCTGGAAGTCGAGCGTACAAAGAGTTTAGAAACATGAAACGTATTAGGTCACACAGTCGGTCAGGCTCCTCCATGACGAGGACTGGCCTTGCAAATACACGAAACAAGAGCTGTGCAATGCCGTCCAAAAGTCTTGGTACGACACAGACATGGCTTGACATGGCTTGACATGGTACCATTGTTCTCCATTGTTATCCATCGTTTCTGGTCTGGAAGTCTGATTTAGAATGTTGACGAGTTGCGTGATGCGGCCAGCGACTGTGCGCCAAGCGCGAACATGCGACATCGCACAGCCTGACAGTCAAAATCAAAATCTTAACGCAATGTCTTGTGCTCGGATTTGGCTGTTTCAGTCTGTTTCATTTAAGTTTGAACTCTCGACTAGAAAACATTAAGATCCCACTTGTCATGCTTCAGCTTGCGCCTTGTGTCTAACACGTCTAACACGTCTAACACAACTTCTCTATCGTTCTGAATGGAGGCTTGACAACAGAGTCTGTCTCATCTTTGCGGAGAAATCTCCTGTTTCCGCCTCTTTCTCCATGCGTCATCTGAAGCTCCACATCGGCACGGTATCCTGATCCACATCGAAAGTTTCTGAAAGCTGGCGTTTGAACATGTTTGAACATGTTTAAACAGGTCGGAGCAAATCCCTGATCAGACTTTGAAAACAAAAGTTTGCAGATCTTGGCTAGGCATGCTAGGCCCTATTAGGCCTAAAAAAAGGAACCAAAAAAAACATCGGAGACATATCGGTACGGCCCTACTACGGCACCATTTCGGTACCTTGTCGACCGTCGAACTTTGCATTGCGGCTCGTGTTCCAGCAGCTTCCAACCTTGGACGAAGTCGACACAGTCGACAAAAAGTTGACAAAGTCCATGGATAACTTGGGAATATCTTAGGAATGCTTGGAATATCTCGGAATGCTTTGCCTCATATGATATATATTTATATTATATATATATATGATATATGTGATATAATTAGATGATATTTCTATGTGCACTATGTACTGCTCGAATCACAAGACTTGTTTGTTGTCTCTGAACCTGAGGAGAACACTGCATCCAGGGGAACCTGCATCGTTTCAGAGATTTTTGGTTGACTCAGTTGACTAAGTTGACTCAGTCGACTCGTCATTTCAGACTCCGTTCTGAGATCTCCGATGTCCTGAGCTTTGCAACGCTCCAAAAACATTCTATACATTTCTATACTTAGGTTCTGATTCTGCCTTCATAGAACTTTCCAGATCCCACTTTGCACTTGTCTTCTCTGCGATTCTTCGCGATTCCCACACCTCATCTGTCAAGCCATCAGTCGCTTGGAAGCGGTGGACACTTAGAAGTGGAGGAGACGCCTCGAAATCTCTCAACAGCTCAGAGATTTCAATCTCTATGGAGTAAACATGAGTAAAATATAGTAAAATAGGAATCATAAGAAGTAATGACTCAGTTTTGTGAGAATGAGCACTGGTAACACTGGTAGAGTGACATCCAGTGACCAGGTTGAAAACAACACGTTGCGACTGCCACACGTTACGACTGCCAAAGAAAAGTCGGAAGATCTCCACCCAAACCTGGAACTCCTTCAGTCGATTGGAAATGCCTCACCAAAACCCGTCGGAGTTGTGAAGGCGAAGGCTTGTACATCTTATACAATGTTCAGATAATATAGATCATATTAATAGATAATATTCGCATATATTCGACAATGAAGGCAAGTTGATGCAAGTTCTGCTTTTCGTGAAAAATGTTGTGACTGGCCGGGCCTTCCCAACGATCCTTCCGCCGGTCCAAGTTGATGACCAAGGTGTGCAAAGGTAAGACATCATTGGTGGGTGGAGGCCTGAACAAATCAAGCAGCATGGGCATGAGGGACTACTGTAAGGTTTGAATAGGTTATGATGTGTGTATATATATATATTATATATAGTTCTAATATGTTATAATATAGATTCATATAGTAAGAAGTTACTGTAAGATTGCTCAAGTTCGCTTCTGCTTCGGCTCTGCAGTCACTCTGATCCCAGCCTCTTTCCGTTTATTCGTCGCCGAACATTTGGATCATCGCTGGCCATGGCTTTGCGGCTGTCGGCTCTCATTCAGGCCAGCATTGCTCAGCTCATCTGCGAATTCGCTGTCCACACATTTCCCACATGTTCACCCTTCCTTTGCTATGCCATCTATGCTAGTTGGATTGACTTCCAGCTTCACGACTCGTAAGATTCGTAAGTGGATGTAGAGAGACAAGCTGAAGAAATGCTGCAATGTAAATCATTCAGCGGACTCCGTCAAACACGTGCCATGATTCGCACATTGCACTCTCCTCAACGGCCTCAACGGCCTCAATGGCCTCAATGCTCATTTTTTTAAGACATTCTGCACATCGCTGTACCAGCACAGAATGTGTCCCTGCAGGCGTTTGGAAGTCGCCTGAACAGCAAGTCGAATTCGAATCGTGTCAACAAATCATTCCCGAAGGCAAGAACTGAGGGGGTTTGTTTCGACAGATTCGACAAGATACTGCAAAAACCCAAGCGAACCACAACATTCACTGCCTTGAGGCTTAACCACAAAGCAAAGCTACCGCTGCATCGACATTGCCAGAAGTGGCCTGGCAGACTCGCATGTCGTCGCATGTCGTCGCATGTCGCGGACTTCCAAAAGGACGCGATGCTTGGCCTCGCCTCCAAGGCCTTCTTGGCCTCACTGCCATCGAAGCCCATGGCCTGGAGCTGCAGCGAGCCTTCCTGGAACCGGAGAACGGCTCGAACGGCTCGAACGGCTCGAAACACGAAAAAATAAATTTTAAAAAATCCAAGACCAAGACATCACACAAGTCATCACAAGTCATCACAAGTCATCGCACCAACCTCAATCAACATCAGAGTCAGATGCAACGTCAACTCATTCTGAGACTCACAGCCCATATTATCATCATATGTCATATGATACATATGTCCTTAAATTGACTGACTTCGAGTGGTTTGGATTGTTTACGGATTGTTGGTCGAAGCTTTGGATTAAATCGCCAGTACGTTCTATGCGCTTTGTGTTACACTCATTTCCGCGGCCTCGCTGGCCCGACTCACTGGGCTCGCAACATTCACTGCATCTGGACGAGGTGAAGGAAGAGATCCAATTCGCAAGTGGCTTTTGACTCGTTCAATGCTGTAATTGCAAGACATGTTCATTATGGAGCTTGAAGCAATTCCACTCGAAGAGTGCTGAGAAATGCTTGATGATTGAAGTTGGCCATTTTAGTTGTCTTCCTCTGCTCATGCATTGCTTTGCACCGGAAGTTCTTTGCCTTTTGCAAGGATAAGTTCAGGATAGGCACGGCCGTTGCCAAGTGTGTTGCTTTCGACCTAGGATTTCAAGATATTTCAAATCAACTGACACTAGTTTTCCCTAGATGTTCGGTAAAGAACGTGCAAAGAACATGCCGTGCAAATTGAAAGCAACAGTCCAAAGCTGTCCAGAGAGAGCTCAGCTATGTTCAGCTGAGCATCGCAGGCACGACCAAAAGCTTTGAAATGTGCCCAACCTTCGTCGTGACACTCTAAGATTGCAAAGCAATCCCCATGGGCAGTCAAAGGCGAGTTCATGGTGATGTGGTGCAATCCTGCAGAGTCCACAAAATGGCAGTGCTGTTGGTTTTCCACAAGGCGTCACACTCAGGTATCACAAAAACATACAAAAACTAGGACAAACAGCTTGAGATATGTCTACCAAACTGATGAATCTTGAATCAAAAAAAAATCCATAGCCATCCTCCTTCATCCACGGCGTAGCCTGTCGAAATTCCACACACTAGGGATACATTGACACATCAACAGCACACAGCACGTCACTCGCCCCACGTAACAGCACGTAACAGCACGTAACTGCGCGACATCACTGGAGAAATGGATAGAAATGGTTCAACTGAGACACCGCCATCGTGATCATGGCCAGCAAACACCGCCACCACAGATTCCCCATGCTCATGGAGGACTTGGAGGATCTCCTGCCACGAAAATGATGACACCACAAGTCCAACTAATCCAACACGAATCAAACAAACACACCAGAGATTCGTCATTGCATCATATTGCATCCACCTGCCATGCGTCATGCCATGTCATGCTGTGTCACATGTCGTATGCCTCGGCGTTCCACACCACGGTCTTTGCTTTGGTGGCAGGCTCGTAGAGAGGTACGTGTAGGAAAACCAGGATCTTTCTCGAGTCTGCCTAGCGAAAACACTCGAAAACGTGCCACTGAGGTCCACCGATCACGGCCAAGGTCAAAGTTCTGAAAGTTCAGTGGGACTTCAATACCAGTTCTCCCATGATCAGTCACAGATTGCCTCTGCCGACCGTATGGCCTTAGATTGCAAAAAAACGCAAGGTTACTGCCAGTTTCTGCACCCTGCAATTCTCATCGATATCTCAGGTCATCTCAGGTCCTTGCTGTTTTCATCCATTCCAACTGCTGTTGTGAGATAGCGCCTTGGGACACTGGACATCTGCGGAATTCTGCGGACATCTGGATCGTAGTGTGTGCTAAAAAGGGAAGGAGGGCACGAAGTTGGCACATCTGGAGAAAAATGCTGCTCCACTTTCTGCCCACAATATCCACAATGGGAATGTTCAAAAACCGAGCAGCCGTTGTAAGGGACATAGCGGTGTTTCTCGTGCGGCAAACCAGCAAACCAGTCTTTCGCACCAGCCAACACTTGCCTCAAATGCATTGAAATGCAATCACGCCAGTCTTCCTAGTGCACATTCCTCAACATCCTCAAAAACCTTGGAAATCTATATATGGACATCTACGGAAATCTCATGCAATTCCGTTCCCTTGCCCGTTTGCCACCATCTCATCGTTGACGGCTTTCAAGGCACGGATTGTGGTCTTGCATCATCTGCGTGGCTTCTCGAAATGCGGGAGAATCTTGCGGCTGCCCTATGAGCCTTTCACTCAAAACTGGCAATGAATTCCATGGACAAATCCACAACAAATCTGCAAGGCACTTGCACATTTTGCACATTTAGGACAAAAAGTGGCAATTCTCTTCAGCCAAAGAGCGCCACTTCAAAAGGATCCAGAAAGATCCCCTCCCAGCTATCGCCCAAATGCGCCTTGGATCATGGCGGATCTGTTCACTGTGTTCACTGCATCTTGATTTGCCTCAATGCTCCACTACTACATGTAGAATCACATAAATATCCTATATATATATATACGTATATATCAAGCATGCCTTTGCAATCTTTAGCACACATGCTACACAGTCCAAATGAAACGCCATTTCAATTCTCTTCTGCTCCTGTGAATATGTGCTTTACGGCGCAGATGCCAAGGTGCAGAGTAGTAGCTGCGTCCTCAGCTGGCAACTTTGAAAGCGCGGCCATCGGCAGAAGCGGCTTGCTGAAACTGCGAAATATTCCGATGTGAAATGTTACAGAAAAAAACTACTGAAATGTACTGTATGATACTGTACGATACATTACGATACTAATCTAATCTACTATCAAATGCTATGTGTGATATATGGTGTATATATCTTTATGTATATGTATACATATGTATCATATGTATTCATATGTAAATAGATCATGATACTATGTGATGGCCTATCAAAGGCTCTAGTCTGGGAAATTCCGGGCTTTTTCAAAACGTCCAGAATCTGAGCTGAGGATCCACCAGATGGACCACAGCGCAGGCCACATTTTTCGAGCTCCGGGCGATGCAAATTATACAACTCGTGATTCCCAATGAGGTCATAGCGAGGTACAACACTCTTGGACAAAACCTCCAGCACCGCCTTCAGCGCTTTCTCGCTTTCTTTCAATTTACTGTTGCAACCATCGATGATGTCGCCAAGCTGCACCACCTGGACTGTGATTTACGACTGACAAAACGCCCGGACGTCTGCCGGATGACGTTATCACTGGGCTTCGGACTGCATCCACACCCTCGGCCTCGGCGAGAAAATCCGATGGGTTCACTTCAGTTTGTTCAATCTGCCATTGTTTCGTACGTGTCCGTTCTGCAAGTCCTTTCAACTTTCTGAAAGGTATACTTTACATTACCTCACCACTCTCTATCAGCTGTAAAGTTTGAAGCTTGGCTGCAAACATTCCAACAGTCAACTGCTCGACGTGCGATGTTCAAGGAATTGCGAAAGTAGCGGTGTTCTTGGCCGGAAAAGTCTGTACCATCGTCACAATCAGCATACCTGGCAGGGGCGGCACAAAAAAAATTGGAAGTCCTCAGCTCTTCACAGACTCGTTGCAGTGGAAACTACAAATTCAGAGTCTGGCTGGATGTCTGCAATGAGACCGAGGCAAAAAGCTGGCAGTCACGAAATCAATGGTAGAAGTTCAGTAAACAAATCCTTGTTCAGGGATTGCGTCTGGCAACTAGTCTGACAGTATCAGATGTGCTGTGCCATGTTTTCTCAATAGTCCGGTCCCTAAAAATTTCACTAGATGCATAGCTTTGAGCCGTGAAACATCAGGCAGAAACGCAGGGACTTCACTCATGGACATGTCAGGACATGTCAGGATGACGTTTGATCGAAATTGGTTCATGCTACTCATGCTGCATGGTTCTATAAATTTTCAGCATAAACATAGAGGATGGGAGTGGCAAGGCTCCATGCTACGATCTTTCTGTTGTCTCTCCAGTGTCCAAAGTGAAGAAACCGGATGGTCAAAATAGAACAAAACAGAACTGCAAAAATTGTGTAATAAAACCCAAATGCAGCTGACCATTTTGCTGAGTAAATCAAACGCGTTGTCGCTTGTAAGCAGACCTCGGGCTGACGAGTCAGGCACAAGCTCTCGGATTGAAGAACCAAAAGCAGAAATTTGGGAACTTTGGGTTGGCAGGCGCACAAGATCATTTGTGTTCAAGCGCGCTCAAGTTGCGGATTGGTAGTAGGTTCAAATGCATTCTTTCACACGGCACTCATCCGGTAGCGTGCATAGAATGCTTGCAATGCCGGTTCCATGTGTGTAAAGAGGTTGATGCGCTTTTACGTTGTAAGGATCAACAATTGCGCTGAATCGAATGTCTGACTGTCCAGTTGTGATGTCAGTGTTGCCATTATTTCGCAAATTGTGTGCTGCTATGGCATCAATCTGCTCTAATGTTGTTCCAATATGTTCCAATGTTGTTCTCGTGTTTATGAATTAGCATCGTTGAAAAACCCTCTGTCACCCTTCGTGCTGGTTGTTTCATAAGATTTCCCACAGTGAATTATGATAATGAAGATGATAATGACGATGATGAAGATCATGCTGAAAACGAAGATCATACTGCATCAAACTGAACACGAAATGGCATAACAACCATTACATGATGTTTGTACTTGCCTTAAAACCATGACCCTGGGCAGGAGCAAACCGCCGAAAGCTAGCGGGGGAACGGGGTCAAGAGGTATTTCAGCAAGCACAAACTAGTTTTCCTGATATATTGGAGAGGGTAACTTCCCCAACCTCTTGATCAACCAACATATGAAGAACAAAAAAAACCGGTTACATCACGTTTCAATATAACTGCTGTCAAATAATCCATCATGACAATTTATACATCATTGGATCGTAACGCCTCTTTTTGGCCCCCCGTTTACCAAGGTTTCACCGAGCTCTCCGGGCGCTGCTGCGGCCGGCGGCCTCGCAGTGGCGTTGCCCACGGCCTGTCATGTGCACTGTAGACTGTGGGATGTGGAATGGGGTGGAAGAAAGTGGTGTTGAATGAGGAATGTAATGTGTAGAGTGTGAAGTGGGGATTGTGGAGTGTAAAGTGTAAAGTGTGGGGTGGCAAGTGTGAAGCGTAGAGTGTAAGTGTGGAGTGCGAAGTGTAAAGTGTAAAGTGTCGAGTGTAAAGTCTAAAGTGTAAAGTGTAAAGAGCAAAGTGTGGAGTGTAAAGAGGAAAGTGCGGAGTGTAAAGTGTAAAGAGTAAAGTGCAAAGTGTAGAGTGTGAAGACTAAAGAGTAAAGTGTGGAGTGTAAAGTGCAAAGTGTAGAGTGTGAAGAGTAAAGAGCCAAGTGTGGAGTGTAAAGTGTAAAGAGTAGAGTGTGGAGTGTAAAGTGTAAAGTGTACAGTGTAGAGTGTAGAGTGTAGAGTCTGAAGAGCAAAGAGAAAAGTGTGGAGTGTAAAGTGTAAAGAGTAAAGTGTAAAGAGTAAAGTGTGGAGTGTGAAGTGTAAAATGTAAGGGGTTAAGAGTAAAGTGTGGAGTTTAAAGTGTAGAGTGTGAAGAGTAAAGTGTAAAGAGTGAAGTGTGGAGTGTAAAGTGTAAAGAGTAAAGCTCGGAGTGTAAAGTGTAAAGTGTAGAGTGTGAAGAGTAAAGTGTAAAGTGCAGAGTGTAGAGTGTGAAGTGCAAAGTGTGGAGTGTAAAGAGTAAAGAGAAAAGTGTGGAGTGTAAAGTGTAAAGAGTAAAGAGTAAAGTGTGGAGTGTAAAGCGTAAAGTGTAAAGTGTGAAGTGTAAAGAGTAAAGTTTGGAGTGTAAAGTGTAAAGTGTGAAGAGTAAAGACTAAAGTGTGGAGTGCAAAGTGTAAAGTGTAAAGAGCAAAGAGTAAAGTGTGGAGTGTAAAGTGTAAAGTGTAGAGTGTGAAGAGTAAAGGGTAAAGTGTGGAGTGTAAAGAGTGAAGAGTAAAGTGTGGAGTATAAAGTGTAAGGAGTAAAGAGTAAAGTGTGGAGTGTAAAGTGTAAAGAGTAAAGTGTAAAGAGTAAAGTGTGGAGTGTAAAGTGTAGAGTGTGAAGAGTAAAGAGTAAAGTGTGGAGTGTAAAGTGTAAAGAGTAAAGTGTGGAGTGTAAAGGGGAAAGTGTGGAGTGTAAAGAGTAAAGAGTAAAGTGTGGAGTGTAAAGTGTAAAGTGTAGAGTGTGAAGAGTAAAGTGTAAAGAGTAAAGAGTAAAGTGTAGAGTGTGAAGTGTAAAGAGTAAAGTGTGGAGTGTAAAGTGCAAAGAGTAAAGTGTGGAGTGTAAAGTGTAAAGTGTAAAGTGTGGAGTGTAAAGTGTAAAGTGTAGAGTGTGAAGAGTAAAGAGTAAAGTGTAAAGTGTGGAGTGTAGAGTGTGAAGAGTAAAGAGTAAAGAGTAAAGTGTGGATTGTAAAGAGTAAACTGTGGAGTGTAAAGAGTAAAGAGTAAAGTGTAAAGTGCGGAGTGTATTTTGTAGAGTGTGAAGAGTAAAGAGTAAAGTCTGGAGTGTAAAGTGTAAAAAGTAAAGTGTAAAGAGTAGAGTGTAGAGTGTGAAGGGTAAAGCGTAGAGTGTCTCTAGCAAATCCAACTCCAGCTAGCAAGCTAGCTTTTGTGATTATCCCAAACGATGCTGCAAAGAACATGAGGAAGGGATGCCAAGGTAGATTCTGCAAGTTCCCTGGTTGAAGATCTCTGGAAAGTGCCGCGCGCAAGATCTCCTTGACAGGATCTCTGTAGAAGCTTCTGTGCTCTTTTCGCAGATCGACTCTGTCTACGGGGGCTAAAGTTAAACTATCTGGTTGTCAAAAGACTTTGCATCTGATCTCGCTGTACGGTGAAATAAGACAAACCTTCATAGTTCACTGTCAATATAGAATGTATAAGCCGGAGTCTTAGGACAGGCAATAGCGACACTGCAATTGAGGAATTGCAAAAAGAAGTGGAGCAAGGACCAAGTGGTACTGTACTTGATTGGCTGTGTATAAAAGACACAAAAACATGGACAACAAAATAGGAACTTTTGTAAATACCGCCAAATAATACTACAGATAGGTTCAGGTGTGGGTAGTGACCATATATAATATCCATATATAAACATATGATAATGATAAGATATATTTGTATGTATATTGTGATATTATGCATTGCTTGTGTTTTGGATACGTCGTGCGTAACTCCGCTCTGCTCGTTGGTTGAGCAGTGCCTTGACGACCCAGGCGCTGCAGTTGGAGACCTCGCGGCATCAAAACGGCGCAAGGTCTCTGAAAAAGGTAATTTGGGTAACAGGATAACCGATTATGGTGGTTATATAATGGTTGTATAGTGGTTATAATACCAATAATAGTGATTATATATGGAAAAAATCATGGGATTATAACATATTATATCACAATAATACACATTCTGGTGGTTTTAACCATCTTTTTTGGGGTGTTTATAACATGTTAAACCCATATATAGTCCATATATAAACCATTTTTTAACCATATATTATCCGGTTGGTGGTTTAACCATCTTGAAAAATATGAAAGTCAATGGGAAGGATTATCCCATATATGAAATGGAAAAAACATGTTTGAAACCACCAACCAGCATTAATAATACAAAATACATCTATACAAAAAGTGCCATGCAAACAATGAAACAAATGTCTACAAAACTATACTTAAATGATCTTAAATGTATTTAAATGTATTCTATCAAGAGATCTCTCGTGATGTTCGTAGATATGTCCAATGTCCAGTCAGCTTCTGCGTTCGTCCCCACTGTCTCTTCACATATCAGATCTCTTCACACCTCTCATTTACTCATCAAGTCCAGCAGAATATGCACATCTCACGAATCTCACTTCCCTAGATTCCCTAAATCCACAGTGCTTTTCTTTTTATCCTTCCGAATACAATGCATTTCGTTGCGCCTGGCGAGCTTGTTTTCTCAGATTGCCTCAGAAAATCCCCAGATCACGACAAAAATGCCCACATGCAGAGTTTCTCGCTGTCGCTACAGTTTGCAGACAGTTTGAAACTGTAGCTGCTGTAGCTGTATCATGCTGTATTCGTTGTATTCTCGTTGTATTCTGCGCTTTGGTGTCCGGACGAAGAATTTGCACGGCCGAAGTTGCCGGCAGCGATTTCAGCGCTGTCTGAGCCTGGAGCAAAACCAACTCCGGAGAAAACATTCATGTCATGGCACCGGATCCATGGAATGACGGCATGAGAACATGGAGAAACATGGAGAAACATGGGTATGGATCAATACCTATTAATACCATAAATCCCAGCTATTTTGATGTTCACCAGGGGTACAAGGTTTTGACACAGTGCCACATCAGAACATGGAGAGGTGTAAGTCCCATTGCGCTGTGTCCTGAAAATACAGTCGACTGTCATGTCGCGCCCTTTTACCCAAACGAGACTCCAACTTTCTCATCCAAAGCGACTAATCGCAGCTCCTGCGGAACGGCGGAGGTGGATTTCCATTGCATTCCCATTGGATTCCCTGGAGACTTCACCTGTTCCCGTTCGCTGACTGCAACTCTCGACACGGCTCCACGAGAATGCAAGCGTCTCATGTCAGGTGTGGCTCATCAGAACTTGAGGTCATGATGCACACTTGCATTCACTGCCTATGTTGGAGAGCAAAAGCCTCCACAAATCACAAACCTCCTAAAGCGACATCTGCGCGCCTCTTCCAACTCAGCTCCGTCGACAACTCCCCTGAGCACTTTTTCGGTGCAAACTCATCAGAACTCTCCCCATCTCCCCTTTGCTCAGCATGCCCCTTCTGGATTTGTTCAAGAACACATGTCGCAGAAGCACTGGTGGCTTCTGATATTTTAAACCTCCTGATGTTTAGATCTGTTTTCAAACCATGCGACACTGCAACCGGGATGGAGTGGAGCCTGATACGCACAACTTCCCAGATTTTTGCATGGCTCAGATCTGTTCGGGAGCAAAACATGCAGAAACCGTCAGAAACCCACCAGCTGCACTAGCCACTAGCTGAACTCTCCTGACGCTTGAAGTTCCTTGAAGTTCCTTGAAGTCGTTGTTTTCATCGCTTGGAAGTTCAAAATGTTCAACAAGATATTAGCGACGTAGTGACTTATTATTGGGATTCTATGATGCCCAGCCAAAAAAGGATCGTCCTGGGTCTCTTCCAGGTTGGAGTACCATGTCGCGTCTCGAAGAAAAGCGCTGAAAAGGATATCATTCCGTGCATTGCTAAGGAAAGAACTCTGCGCTGCCCCCATCTCCACGATCGACAAAACCAACACCTGACAAGAACAAGTCACAAGAGCGATTCGCGTTGACAGTTTTGAAGAGGGACACAGAGAGAAAAAGAGAGAGAGAGAGAGAAAGAGCTCAGAATTGCTGTAAGCACAGTGCCAGGGCAAGGAGTAGCTAGTGCAAACCCAGATATTCTTCTCCCTGGACGATAAATTCCATAGTTGGAATGAAAGCACCCACCAAACCTAGCAAAAAAAGTCCAAGGTAACATCTACCAAGCATACTTATTGTACTAGCTGTTACTAGCTTCGACAGTCGATTCTTGGTTTTTCTGAGGACATGGAGATCTGCAGCGCCATGGCCACCTCGCTCGCTTAGGTCGTTTCGCACGCGGTCGCCCTCCTGATGGTTTCTGACCGCCTCAACGAGCAGTGACACTCTGACGCCATGGTCGTTCTAACTCACTCTGGCCTTCATCACGTAAGCAGATGGATTGTGAACCTCGGAAATGCATCGGGTACTTGAGGCCGGGGGTGGATGACGAAAGCTAGCGGGGTAGGAGAAAGAAGGAAGGGAAGAGGTGAGTTGCGCAGGGACTGTCATCATCGTGTCGCGGCATTGTTCGTCCCAACGAGGATGCAACAATGATATATGATATATGATATATGATATATGATATATAACAATGATATATATGGGGAAGGGGGCAGGGGGGGGCCTTACGCGTGAAAAATCACGTGATGTCCTTGGGGAGCCCCGGAATACTTGCTAAAGCAAGAAGACTCTAGCGAGCTGACGCTAGCTTTCGTGATAATGCCAATAATTGCCAATAATGATACATTGTAATTGAATAACGATGATGATGATGATGAATGATGAATGGTGAATGATGAATGATGAATGATGAATGATGAATGATTGATGATGGATGATGATGATGATGATGATGATGAAGATGACGATGACGATGACCGTGACGATGACGAGGATGATGATGATGATGATGATGATGACGATGACGAGGACGATGGCGAGGACGATGACGATGATGATGACGATGATGATGACGATGACGATGATGATGATGGTGGTGGTGGCGATGATGATGATGGTGGTGGTGGCGATGGTGATGATGATGATGATGATGATGACGATGATGATGACGAGGACGATGACGAGGACGATGGCGAAGACGATGACGATGATGATGATGATGATGATGATGATGGTGGTGGTGGTGGTGGTGGTGGGGGTCCCCCCCTTTCACGTGAAAAATCACGTGATGTCCTTGAGCAGCCCCCGGAATACTTGCTAAAGCAAGAAGACTCCAGCTAGCTGACGCTAGCTTTCGTGATAAGAAAGTAATGAAGAATGCAACGGTGTAACAATACAACTTAAGTATCTTTAGTGCAATATGGGATTGAAAAGAGTCTTGATGTTTCTTGCATCCAACAGGGGGCGAGAAAAGGAAAAGCAGTCGGAGAACCAGCCAGCATTTCATCACACTGGGTGCTTAGAGGCTTTGACCTTATCTCCAGCTTCAGCAAGAAGCTGCAAAATATGCTGGGCAGCCTGAAGGTTCACACAGTTCACATGCCGACAGCTGAGACAAAAAACACTCTGATGCTCTCTTGTAGACTGTTGTACACATCCATGCTGCATCCAAAAGATAGAACAAAGATAAAGATGCTGAAAGATCCCTTAATATTTCTCAATGCTCTCATTTTTTTTACCGTGCAGACTGCAGAAGTCTGTGCACAGAACCATAGCCGTTGAAATTGTGAAAAAAACACATATGAACAAAGGTAGAGAGGTAATCGGCTGAGGAGAAATTAATTAAGAATGTGTGAAACATCCAATGCTCTCAATGTCTCTGTGAAAACTAAAATAAATCACCGCGGCTCAATGCTCCCTTAATATCTCCCGCTAACATCTCTATGAATCAAAAATAGAGAAAAATAGAATCACTGAATAGACAAAACACAAAATATGACAAAATATGACAAAATCTAAAGCTCGAGAGCTTCAAATCTCTTCAAATCTCTTCTCTTCAGCTCCGCCTCGGGGCTCACTTCCTGCAGCGCATGTCTGGCATCATCGTCCAGGCGCGCAGAGACGTCGCTCCCAACGTTCTTGGCGCTCTGGCCCAGTGACATCCAGTGACATCCAGTGACACCCAGTGGCCAGTGCTTGGGGAATTGATGGAAGTTGGCTCTGCGTGGTGATGGCTGTTGATGCTTGTTGATGCTTGTTGAATGTCGTTGATCTTGACTCACTTTTGTTTCGTTGATGCCGGGCTTTAATTTAAGCCCTCTGCAAAAGTCATCGCTACGCTGGCTACACTTTGTGACAGCGCACGTGCCTGGATCTCTTGAGGAACCGCTACCTGCGGGGCCTGCGGTCGCATGGCCATGCTGAACGTTGCGATCGCATCAGATCCCACAGATCCCACAGTTCACGACGCTAACATCAATGGGAATTCGATGGAATTCGATCCTAAAATGGAGGTACTGTATGGTACGTTAGTACCATATGTACCATATGTACCATATAAGGCTTAATGTAAGGCTTAATATAAGGCTTAATATAAGGCCATGTTTTGTGTGGATATTCCCTGAAATGGCCATTGAGTCAACAGGCTGTGATCCCTCACCACACCTTGAGTTTGGCGTTGGATAAGGCTCGCTGCACGTAGGCCGATGGATTCCGCACCTGACTTAATCCCAAGGCCCAGACGTGAAACCGGCACTACAATACGGTATGATTCGGTATGATTTTCGATAACTTGAGTGAAACCACAGGAAACATTGAGCCACAGTGTTACTATCTGATCATATACACCAGAATATTTAGATACATATATATATATATACATATCATATATATATATCATATATATATATATATCATATGTATATATATATATCATATGTATATATATATATATCATATGTATATATATATATCATATGTATATATATATATCATATGTATATATATATATCACATGTATATATATATATCATATATGTATATCATATATGTATATATATATCATATATGTATATCATATATATGTCATATGTATATTTATATATATATATATCATATGTATATATATATATCATATATGTATATCATATATATATGTATATTTATATATATATATCATATATGTATATCATATATATGTATATTTATATATATATATATCATATATGTATATCATATATATGTATATATATATTTATATATATATCATATATGTATATCATATATGTATATATATATATCATATATGTATATCATATATATGTATATCATATATATGTATATATATATATCATATATGTATATCATATATATGTATATATATATACAGTATACATATTATCACAAAAATAAGGTTGTGGACACATTGCGGACCACTTGGATTCGGCACCTCTCTGGGATCCTTGGTCTGCAGCTCTGCGATGACTTGAGCTGCGATCTGCGGCGTGAGGCAGCCGTCTTTTACCAATTCCAAAGCAAAACAGAAGAAAAATGATGAAAAATGCATAAAAACATGTTCTCGTCAATACTCAAAAGAATGCTCCAGAGTGATTTCAAAGTTTTTCCATGAAATTGGCATGTGGAAACGGAAGGCTCTTCAATATCTTCAATCTGTTTCCGAAACAAAGAATCTTTTCGTAGTCAAAGTCAGCACACCAGTTCTGGGTGCCTCAGGCGCAGTGCCTTGCAGAGCAACCGTGGCTTTCTCGTCCAGAATAATTCCTGCGGTGCAACGGAGAGACGACCGGGGAATTCTTGGAGACGTTGACATGACATGACAGCTAGAAATAAGTACTTAGGATGAACCTATCTCGAAAAAAACAACATCAAAAGACTCTCAAAAATATTATCGGATATAATCTTATGTGGGTCTTTTCATGTCAAATATCATAAATATCATATCAATAATCAACGAATATATCATGTTCAGCTCAGCTCCAAGGCCTGGTGCCACCATGTAGTGCGTCCCCTGCGCTGCCGGCGCAGGCGTCACCACGCCTCAACGCATAGACGATGCATCGCAGATCCCAAAGATATCCCAGGAAAGTGCCAAGAAACCGTTGCAACTGAAATTGTAATACAATTTTACATATGTTGTACATAAACACAAATTCAAATGCTACTGATATCAATGAATATCTATTGATATCTATTGATATCTATTGGTATCTATTGATATCTATTGATATCTATTGGTATCTGTTGATGTCTACTGATATCTATTGATATCTGTTGATATCTATTAATATGTTGATATCTATTGATATCTATTGGTATCTATTGATATCTATTGATATCTATTGATATCTATTGATATCTGTTGGTATCTATTGATATCTATTGGTATCTATTGATATCTATTGATATCTGTTGATATCTATTGATATCTGTTGATATCTATTGATATCTATTGATATCTCTTGGTATCTATTGATATCTGTTGATAACTGTTGATATCTTAAAAAACAAAAAAACAACATATCAATTCATATCTATTCATACTGTATGTAATCGTATCTATTCATATCTATTCATATCTATTCATATCTAGTCATATCTATTAATATCTATTGATATCTATTGATATCTAGTAATATCTATTGATATCTATTGATATCTATTGATATCTATTGATATCTATTGATATCTATTGATATCTATTGTATCTGTTGATATCTATTGATATCTATTGATATCTATTGATATCTTTTGATATCTTTTGATATCTATTGATATCTATTGATATCTGCTGATATCTATTGATATCTGTTAATATCTAGTGATATCTAATGGTATGTATTGAAATCTATTAATATCTATTAGTATCTATTGATATCTATTGAGATCTATTGATATCTATTGATATCTTTTGATATTTATTGATATCTATTGATATCTATTGATATCTATTGATATCTGTTGATATCTATTGATATCTATTGTTATCTAGTGATATCTATTGATATCTATTGATATCTATTGATATCTATTGATATCTATTGATATTTGTTGATATCTATGGATATCTATTGATATCTATTGATATCTATTGAAATCTATCGATATCTATTTGTATCTATTGATATTTATTGAAATCTATTGATATCTATTTGTATCTATTGATATCTATTGAAATCTATTGATATCTAGTGATATCTACTGATATCTATTGATATTTATTCAAGTATGCTGATATCTATTGATATCTGTTGAAATCTATTGATATCCATTTGTATCTATTGATATCTATTGAAATCTATTGATATCTATTAATATCTATTGATATCTGCTGATAACTATTGATATCTATTGTTATCTGTTGATAACTAGTGACATAAATTTGTGTATATCTATTCATTTTTGTTTTGATATCTATTGATATCTATTGATATCTATTGATATCTGCTGATATCTATTGATATCTGTTAATATCTAGTGATATCTATTGATATGTATTGAAATCTATTAATATCTATTAGTATCTATTGATATCTATTGAGATCTATTGATATCTATTGATATCTATTGATATCTATTGATATCTGTTGATATCTATTGATATCTATTGATATCTATTGAAATCTATTGATATCTATTCTTATCTAGTGATATCTATTGATATCTATGATATCTATGATATCTATGATATCTATTGATATCTATTGATATTGATATCTGTATATCTATTGATATCTATTGTATCTATTGAAATCTATTGATATCTAGTGATATCTACTGATATCTATTAATATCTATTGAAGTATGCTGATATCTATTGATATCTGTTGAAATCTATTGATATCCATTTGTATCTATTGATATCTATTGATGCTCTTCAAAGCTATTGATATCTTTTGAATCTATTGATATGTATTGATATCTATTGGTATCTATTGATATCTATTGATATCTATTGATATCTATTGATATCTATTGATATCTATTGATATCTATTGATGCTTTTGATTTCTATGGATATCTATGGATATCTATGGATATCTATGGATATCTATTGTTGCTTTTGATATCTATTGATATCTATTGTTATCTATTGATATCTAGTGGTATCTTTTGATATCTATTGATATCTATTGATATCTATTGATATCTATTGATATCTATTGATATCTATTGATGCTCTTGATATCTATTGATATTTAGTGACATCTATTGATATCTATTGACATCATCTAATGATATCTATTTGTATCTATTGATATCTGCTGATATCTATTGATGCGTTTGATATCTATGGATATCTATTGATATCTATTGATATCTATTGATATCTATTGATATCTGTTGATATCTATTGATATCTATTGATGCTCTTGATATCTTTGATATCTATTGAAATCTATTGATATCTAGTGATATCTATTGATATCTATTGATATCTATTGATATCTGCTGATATCTATTGATATCTTTTGATTCTTTTGATATCTATTGATATCTATTGATATCTATTGAAATCTATTGATATCAATTGATATCTATTGATATCTCTTGCTTTATATTGATATCTACTAGTGATATCTAGTGATATCTAGTGATATCTATTGATATCTATTGATATCTATTGATATCTGCTGATATCTATTGATATCTTTTGATTTTTTGATATCTATTGATATCTATTGAAATCTATTGATATCTATTGATATCTATTGAAATCTATTGATATCTATTGATATCTATTGATATCTTTTGATTCTTTTGATATCTATTGATATCTACTAGTGATATCTAGTGATATCTATTGATATCTTTTGATTTGTTTGATATCTATTGATATCTATTGAAATCTATTGATATCTATTGATATCTATTGATATCTATTGATATCTCTTGCTTTCTATTGATATCTACTAGTGATATCTAGTGATATCTATTGATATCTATTGATATCTTTTGACTTTTTTGATATCTATTGATATCTATTGAAATCTCTTGATATCTATTGATATCTTTTGATTCTTTTGATATCTATTGATATCTACTAGTGATATCTAGTGATATCTATTGATATCTATTGATATCTTTTGATTTTTTTTGATATCTATTGATATCTATTGAAATCTATTGATATCTATTGATATCTTTTGATTCTTTTGATATCTATTGATATCTACTAGTGATATCTAGTGATATCGATTGATATCTTTTGATTTGTTTGATATCTATTGATATCTATTGAAATCTATTGATATCTATTGATATCTCTTGCTTTCTATTGATATCTACTAGTGATATCTAGTGATATCTATTGATATTATATTATTGATATCTACTAGTGATATCTATTATCTATTTGTATCTATTGATATCTATTGATATCTATCGATATCTCTTGCTTTCTATTGATATCTACTAATCTACTAGTGATATCTAGTGATATCTAGTGATATCTAGTGATATCTATTGATATCTATTGATATCTATTTGTATCTATTGATATCTATTGATATCTATCGATATCTCTTGCTTTCTATTGATATCTACTAGTGATATCTAGTGATATCTAGTGATATCTATTGATATCTATTGATATCTGTTTGTATCTATTGATATCTATTGATATCTATCGATATCTCTTGCTTTCTATTGATATCTACTAGTGATATCTAGTGATATCTAGTGATATCTAGTGATATCTATTGATATCTATTGATGCTCTTGATTCAACTGTCGAGGTTCTCCATCAGCACACCGAACCGCGACCAGTGTTGTGCCTGGATTGGGATCGCGGCCATGGGACAGCCCCACCGGCTGCCCCCTCAACGCGTTGCTCACTGCCCGCTGGATGTAGGCCGAGGGATTGTTGACACTGTCAGTTTTCAGATCAAGCTCCTCCAATGGTCGAAACGGAAGCACATGGAAGCACCATGTTAACATGACTTGTCACAAGCATGGAGCATGGAGCATGGCAACCAGAGCCGGAAACCTCACAAACTTTTGATTCTCGAAATTCTCGAAGAAATATCATCAATCATCTGGATCATCTGTCCTGTAAAATGTCCACAGCATGGGAGTCCAAGGACATCAAAGTATCCCATGCCTGGCACAGCAAAGTAAAATACAAAACTATGTTAAACTATCTGCTCCTTGGGTTCGGGTTTGAAGCCAGCTTTCAATTTGCTGTAAGAAGCACTTCTAGATTGAGTCAAAGGTCACTGAGCAGGGACCCTGGTGGAACCCACAGGTCCGGTGTCAAGAGCAGGTGTTTGCCATGTCCCTTTCCAGGGCCCAACCGATGGAACATTCTTTGATTCGACAGCAACCTGACCCTGCTCCCAGCTCAAACTTTGCACCACTTCGACACAACCCCAAGATTTACAACTTTGGATTAGGATTCCCCATCGGAAGTCATTATCATATTAATATAATAAGTAATATATAATATAAATCATGGACATACTGTGACACATTTGTATTGATGATTTCTATATATTTCTAGCCTTTCTACATCTTTCTACCTCTTACATTCTGCAGATTTTGCTTCGATTCACGGACCTGCTGGTCGACAGCTGGACGCCACTTTGCCAGGAGCAAATCCAAGACTGCCAAACCTTGTTCCGGTGCAAGCTATCCAACCAAAAACGCTAGGCCGCTAGGAATCGAAATAATGGATTAACATAGATTAAACGAAATCACATAAATCTATCAGAAGTTTGTAAGAAATGAGGCTTCAAAAATACGTCAGTGTGGAAGCGCGTTGTTCAAATGTGGCATATGAGATCATATGAATCATATAAGTTATATAAGTTATATAAGCATATGTGGCATATGTACTGAGCTGTTGGTGTACTGAGCTGTTGGGACTCCTGGGACTTCTGGGACTTCGGACCACCCCGGGAAATCTGAATGGTCATCCTGCCGGATGGCGCTGTCGGACCTCACAGTTTGTCGATTCCAAGGGAGACTTGTCGAAGGCCGTGGAAGTTTTGACCGTTTTGGATCAGGAAATCAATTGAAATTGAAAAAATTGACATCTATTGAAATCATGAAAAAAAATGAAAAAAAAAATGAAAAGTGAAGTGAAGTCAAGAAATGGTCCGTGAAAAGAAATTAGATGGTTGTCACGAGCTGGGCAAAGGGACAAGTATGGAGAAGTATAACTTGGTGTGCGGCGGGCAAGTGTGGGACCAACGGGGTTAGGCTCGGACCGCATGGCAAGATGTCCTAACATCCAATTGAGTAGATAGAATATGAATGAATATGAATGAATATGACTATGACTCATTATGACTATCGTAGAATATGACAGAAAATCGAACCTCTTTGGAACGCTCTGGAACCCCGGATCCAGAGCAGCAGGGATTTTCCCTCTTTATGTATCACTGCAGTTTGCTTCTTTCCTTGAACCACCTTTAGATTCCTTTTGACACATCATGATACATCATGATACATCATGGTTTTCTATGAATGTTCATTGCCTTTAGGTTGCCTCAATCGCCCCCACTCTGCTGGCAAGTTCTAACGATTCTAATGCGTTCGCATGACTGATCCATCATTTTGCACTCATGACTTTGTTCATCTCAGCACCTATCTAACTTATCCATACCTATCCATACCTATCCATACTCATGTTTCAAGCTGGAAGCCGAGGTCGGCAAGCACATTTGGATGACAGAAAGACATGGCAAGACAAGACGGTGCAAGGGCACCGAGACATGGCAGCAAAACATCCGAATCTCCGGTGCTCAACTCTGACTCAACTCTCCCCTCTGAGATCTTCTCAGGTGCTCCAGGTGCAAATGCTGTGCAAATGCTGTGCAAGGACGCCCTGTTTTGCTGAGCCTCAAAAGTGTGGCTCAGTTCATTGCGGGGCATTCGGTGAGGCTCTGACTCTAGCTGACGACACAGAACGACTCAGGGCACAACAAATGGCGTCGCCGTCGCTTCAGGTCGAGCCAAAGTCGAAAAGCCCAAACGCAGCTCTGAGCTAACCTCGCATCTGAAAGCATCTGAAAGCATCTGAAATCTTCAAGTCAATGAGTCTAGTGGCCAACTACGTGGAAACTTGGGAAGAAGTGAGCTTGACTCAACGGGGTGTCAAAAGACCACAGGTTTGAGATTCGATGGCTCATCTCACAAATGATGAAGAAGATTGAAGATTGAAGAAGATTGAAGAAACTCAGCAAGTTTTAGCAAGTGCAAGTTGAGTTCCGTGCTGAATGGCGTAGCATTGCTACCTGCAAAAGGTCTTCCAGAGCACCAAGTCGACTTTGTCTAAGCCAGTGGTTGACACAGCAACAGAGTAAAGGATGGCATGTTCAATATGAAACCACTCCAAGGCAAAAGTGTTAGCATTGAGAACACTGAAGATAGACCTACAAAGGATAACCAAAGAATCTCAAAGACACCCAAAGCTGTTTCTGAAGACATAGTATGACATAGTGTTGCGGCTCATGATATTATATGATATTCTGATCCAGCAAAGCTTCTCAGATCTTGTGAGCTTCTCGTTTGAAGTTTTTGCACCTCTCTGGCTTGCAGCGCTTGCGCTTGCGGCGCTTGCGGCTGTCGCGGTTGTCGTTCCAGCAATTGCAGAGACACATCTTCCACCTGGGAACGTCGAACGTCGGGAGTGTGGAGACGAAGTTCGCTCGCACTCCGCACTACCAGGTCCAACCAGGTCCAACCAGGTCCGATGCCTCTCGCAAAGCCTCCAGCAGCTGGGCTACTTCTGCATCCTGATTTCGCTTGTCTCTCGCTTCCCTCCATGAAAAGCAAAGAATCACGATCTTGAAGCTTTTAGATGCTTTTAGTACAATGCACTTAGAATTACTTAGAATTTCAGAATGCGCTTGAAACATCTTGAAACTCCGTTTAAAGTCTCAATGATCTCAATGCATACTTCATGCTGTTTACCGATTTCACATGATTTCACGCTGCTGATACAGAAATCGTGGAGCTTGGGCCACCAAGCCCAAGCATTGCGACGACGCGCCCGCACACTGGAGAGAGCCTCACTACAGTTTTACCAGAAACGTAGACCAGACGTGTGACACAATGTGTAACAAAAAGGTGTGACATAGAGTCGACATAGACTCGAGTGTTTCTATCTTTTTTCGCTTCGGTTCGAGTGCCTTTGTTGGTCAATATTAACAGTTATAAGATGGTTAATATTAATGGTTATTAACAGTAATGATACCATATATTAACAGTTATTATTAACAATATTAATTATATGGTATCATTACTGTATATTGTTAATAATATATTATATATTATATTAATATATGGGTATTATTATGTATTAACTATATTTTTATATGGCCATTGGGCCATTTTTACGGTTAATGATCTCATCTATTGGTCATGGCCTTCGTTGAGGCCGCAATGGCAGCAGCTCTGCAGCAAATCTCCTCGAGGTGCCTCTCTGCCTTTCCCGTCACCACCTTTGCACGGCACGGCGCGGACGCACGGTCCATGGCTGCCTTGGGAAACCAAGATTTGATGGTGGTTTAATGGGATTGAACCATGTTTTAATGGGGTTTTAATGGAAAATATGAAATACATTTTCCAAGATATCGTCAACGAGCATGGCTTATTGATGGCTCATTGATGCTTATTGATGGTTATTGGCTATAAAGATTTGGAAGATGTCCTTGCACTGCATCAACGGCCCCCTGTGTGCCATGGACCCAACCTGCGCTTGCTTCACAGATTCTTCGGCCAAATGCTCAGCACCTCGTAGCAACATCGCCTGTCACGGCATTCTGGAAGAACACCAAAAGAACATGTGACATCATGTGGTAATGATATCATGTGACATCATGTGACATCATGTGACATCCTTTTGGAACGGACTCTTCCGCAAAAATGGGGGTTTGCCAGGGCCCTGTGACAAGTGACAAGTGCTCCTTGGCCTTGGATGAGCTTGGTGCACTGGGTGCCTCACAAAACAAAGAACAGCAGCACGAGAGTCACGAGACATCACGAGACCACATCATCCACATCTGACGCCACGATCTGACGGCACGATCTGACGGCACGATCTGACGGCACGATCTGACGGCACGAAAAGTCATCTGATTCATCACTGTGGTTGCCTCGTTGCTATCTTCGTTGTGAGTTGTGACTGTCGTGACTCGATTAAACATATTAAACCTCACGGCCTGCGTGGAAGAGGAGAGGCTGTCATGCTTTGCCATCGCAAACGACAACCTGGTGAGTTGTCAGATGTTGTCAGCGCGTCCCAAAAAGTGAAACGCAAACGACAGCCTGAGATGATCTGAGATGGCTACTGTTCTTCTGCCTCTGCTAACAAAGACTCTTCCTGGCACATGTGCAAAAGCTGCATTGCCCTGCATTCTTCGTCATTCTTCACTCGGTCCAAGATGAAAGACTCATGAAAGACTAAGTTGGAGGCCTTCGCCAGGGAGGACTGGAGCTCCTGACATATGTTCTTCAAACATCTTCAAACATCAAACACGTTACCCAACGAAGTTGACGTTCAGAGAAATGGTGGAAAGATGTGGAAAGTAATGTCGGAATATGCCTCCCAGGTACTCGTTCCTCTTGGATCCTCTTGGCATACTACGTCCCAAGAGTGGCCATGTGACAACTGTTTAAAAAAAAAAACAAGTGGTAAATCGACACCATGAAAAGTCCTCGTGTGCGTCGGCAGCGCGGAAATCCTGGTGGTTGACTTGGATGGAACACCACAACAGAAGGGAGGACAACAGCCTCCAATTCTCCGATAGCCTCAAGCCTCAACTCATCTCAACTTTACTCGTGCAGCAAAGCCACCAATTTGGCCTGCATCTCAGCACACCTCATCGACATCTTCACTCAACTAATTTGACTTCGAAATACTTCGAATCTGACCATGTCACGGTGACTCCAAATCCTGAAAACATCGAAAACATCTGATATCTTTGTGATTTGTGCAGCTCGAGGTGTGGACAAGGCTTCCAGTTTCTTTGCCACCTCGGCAACAAAAAGCCGCAGCATTGGGCGGATCAGGCGGATCATCGAAGGTCGAAGTCGGCACCGTCGGCACCTGGGTTTCCTCTTCCAGCTGCTGGTGACATTCATCCATTTGCTTTCTTTCCGCCTGAGATTTTTGAGATCAACATGATCAACGCTTTCACCAGAAAAATTGAAACCGATGGACCCATGGGAGAAAAAAACTTCGGAGAACAGCATATCGACTCATCGACCATTGCCTCCAGTTCTTGCAAGGCCAGATTAACCTGCACCGCGGTCTTTTTCAGTCTGAAAAGAGTCGGAAAATACACGCAAGTTATCAAGAATGTCATTCAAATGTCATTCAGATCTCATTCAAATTTTGGATGGCAGATGCTGTGTGAAAATGTTTTTAAAAGAAAAACAGTTGAAACATCAAAAAAACGCCAAAATGAATCAACGATGGCTCCACGCAAATCCACGCCTTGTTGGCTCTTTCGGCACGTTGCAAATCCTGACTCGAGACCTGCATATATTTCTCACAGAAATTGATGCTGACTTCGGCTTGAGTCATCTTGACATTCGACAGGATACGACAGGATACGGTCTTGGCAATCAAAGGGTAAGGTGCAGTGTAACTCGCGATTGAAACACATCACACATATATATATATATGTGTTTACAATGTATGTAGACAGTGTAATTGTGTAGCCAAATATATACATACATGGTACATATATCATATATATATATCTAATTATATATATATATAGCTGAATTTCTGATACTGTTTTCTCTTCTACCTACCTCTGGTTCCCCTTCGGTCACATCTTATCCCTCCGCGTTGCCCTGATGATTGGGCGATGGCACGTGTGGATTCTTGGCATAGCTTGCCACAGCAAATGCCCTAATGGTTTGAAGTTTGATCAAAGTTGCACACACTCTCACAACACCTGTCTTATTTGTCTTGATAGTATTCTCATGTGTCAAAAACTTGATCACAAAATCCACAACATCTGGTTGTTTTTCTTGACATTCAAGAACTTGCTAAAGCGCATAGACTCAACAGTTGACTCAATCGTTCTCTCGGTTCTCCCGGGACCCGTCGCATCCCGTCGCTATACTCTCCGACCCTCAGCGGTGCTCCTCGCTGGCGAATGCCCCTCTTTGCAACTGCAGCGACTGAGTGGCCTCGTCCAAGGCTCCAAGGGTCCAAGGGTCCAAGGTGAGTTCTACGGGTTCTACGATGTTCTACGTCTAAGGTCTACATGTACATGTTGAGGTCTGGTGGTAAGTTGAGGCTCAAAGATTATACAAATCATCTCCGGATATCAGCAATTTGGAATCTCCCAATTTCGCGAATGCAACTGTCCAATAACTGTCCAATCCAGTTCCACAACATCCAATGACCAAAACATCGAATGTTTTCACCGAGTTCACTTTTTAACGTCCATAATGTCTCTCCGACTCGTCTCGGACTCGGCCTCGGCCAGCTCCGAATCCAAGAGCTGCAGCTCCAAACGCAGCGCCGCGGCGTCGCCAAAAGTTCCATCCTCTGTGGAGACCTGGCGTATCGCAGCGTATCACCGCACACGGCAGATCGCGGCAGCATGCGGCCATGCAAACACGAGTGTAACACGAGGCTTTCAATAGGTTTTCAGGCTTTCAAGTAGCAAATCGACTCAGAAGCACAGATTATCACAGATTGCAAGGCTCTTCTTTGATCCCAAGTGAATTCTGCAACTCGCTTGTCTTGGATTGTCAATGCCTTACCCAAAAACACATCGTCCACACACTTCTCTTTGCCTCTGCGTATCCATCAATCATGGAGTCATGGCGATGGCTTGCTAACGAGTGGCAAGTCACCTTTGTATACGTTTGTCGTGTTGTCAATGGCTGTAGACTTCAAGTTTTGTCAGCAAACGATTGCATATGATTGCATGCTATCACGGCAGATGAAAGTCTGAAAAAATGTGCTGAAGGACCGAAGGACCCACGCTCTAAGACTGCTGATACTCTGTCTGCAAAAACAATGGAATAAATCATGAATAGAATGCCTGCAATGTCATGATCTTCGATACTCGAGAAGAGGGTACTTCTCAAGTGTGGTTTATACAAAGGGCACATCATTTGATGGATCAAGAGCCATGATCGGCTTCATTTCCCCACAGCATTTTGCAGCGTTCTGAAACGAAACTCGACTCCAGCAAGCTGCTGCATGGCCACTATTTTTGTGGCTAAGGCGAATTATGGCTCAGATTGAGTAGATCACTAGATGATTTCGGAGTTCGATTCGCAAGTTGCTGACTTGCACTCTTTGGTGACTAGTCTGCAAAGGTGGTGATTGATGTCATACATCTGTTCTGCCTCGGACATGTCCGATCACTGCCATGCACAAAGGCACAAAGGGAAGTGCAACCATTCAAGCAAAATCATCAAAATCATCACACCGTTCAGCCATCACAAGCTATCACAAGCTATCACAAGTCACTTGCAGCTCCTGTTGGCTCCACTAAAGCGCAAAAAATGCACAGCGCAACTCATCTTCAGTTTAGGGTCGTAGACTCGAGAGCATGGATCCAGGTCTTGGTTTATCGGCCCATACTCGCAGTAGTCCGTCACAAAGAAAGCCAAGTCCATGATCTGCGACACCGGCAGAGACCACAGAGAGACCACAGGGCAGGTATTTCCGGTTCTGATACTTTGTGACTGGCGCATGTTCTGTGCTGTGGCCACGCACAAGTTTGACAAATCAGTGGTGATGAAATCATAAGGGGAAAGAAAAACATGGTTTCATTAGGCATCGAATCACTAATTCATAGCATGTGCATGTCGAAATTCCTCCAGAATTCTTATGGCAGAATGGAACCAACAACAGCACATAACAGCACCTTCCCCCGACCTAGAGGAACCGAAGTGTGGTGAGACCCACTCATACTACCGTACTGTAGTATTGCCTACAGAACTCTCATAGCCTTGTTCAACACTCCGTGTCTTCAAAGACTCTAGACCAAGATAAGCCGTTCAAATCCAAGTCACTGCATGATCATGAAGAGCTTTGTGAGCCTCGCAAGTCAAGAATGACAACTAAACAAAATCAATAAAATTCAAAAAGTCAAGAAATGTCAAGTATGATGAGACAGTCCTCTCTGACTCCCACTGCCAGCCTTTAGTCTTTGACAGCTTGGCAGCTTCAAGACGCATTCAAAGTCAGGTGCACCTGCAAGCTGTGCAAACAGCTGTTCAAACAGCTGCGTTCTAAATTCGTAGAGTTCGTAGAGTGCTTCATCTGTGGCATCTCTGTGCGTTGACTGCACTAAGGGAATGATGTGCAAATGTGCAAAAGAGTCAAATTGATTCAAGGGTACACTAGTGGAGATGTGCCCAAAGTAACTACTTCCAAGCAGAGCTTAACCCATGGACAACCTATTTCGTTAGTTCCAAGGAAAGTGCGTGAGAGGGACAAAAGTGCGATTTTCAGCACTAGAACACAAAGCTATGGCGAGTCCAGTCAGCTTTGAAAAATAGACCCCCAAGCAGGCCCAAAACCCAAGCTTGTTGCCGACACCACAACATGTCTTCACCACTGTTGCCATTTTGTCATAGCACAAACTTGTCCATTCCACAACATGACTAAAAAAAAGAAAGATTTGGAGCTCCACGAATTGGATCAAACACCTTTAGTGGCAAAAATGCCTCACAGAAGGGAGTAAATCAGAACGAAATGCACAAGATGTTTCTTTGAGGAAACAATGAGCTTACCTTGCCAACATCAGCAGCTAACTGTAATTTCACAAATATCACAAACACTTCATGACAAGAAAAATGGCAGGAACCGAAAACTTACTTTACATTGTGCACTACAAGTCTACTGCAAATTCGCAGGACCATCTAAAATTGACATTGCTGTCATTAAGATACCATTGTTGCAATAATCGTCACCAGGGCTCATTAACATCATAGTCGTCGTCGTCGTCGTCGTCCTCCTTCTCCTCCTCATCATCATCATCATCACCACCACCATCACCAGCAGCTGCTTCACAAAGCACTTTCTATGTTGCAGACGATCAGACAATTTGATCAAAAATGATCAAAATACAATTAAATGCAATCACAACAAGCAGGACCTGCAGTTCAAACACCTGGTCAAAGCCACTGGCGGGGAGCGGCTCAGTCATAGGAATAGAATCGCGTCAGCAACTAAAGTGCGATAATCGCTAGAATGATAACAGGCATTGCGGAGGGTAATAACAGCTAAATGAGAAGGCCAGTGCTTCCAACAACCAGCGCCCGCTAATCATTAATTATATGATTGTTCAAACAGTATCCGCGTCGTTGTCAACTTTTTGGACCCAACACCAACAGGAACACCATCAACAAACAAAGGATCACCAGCACATGCTTCACGTTGGAAGGTGATAGCCACAACAGTCACAATAAATGTCAAATCCTCATCAAAATGAACCCATGCAGATAACAAACAAGTAGCAAACAAAAAAGAACCATTGCAATGTAAACACCCTTTTCATTATACAAAAAAATGGAACCAAGACCCCTGCAAAAAAGGTGCAAAGGTTTCAGGATACCACAAAAAACAACGAAATTAAAAATGTTGCCTGTAAACAACTAGGTGACTAGCACACTAAAAAAAAAACGGGCCATATAATGACGTTTTGGATTTCGTAAAAGAAAAATCGTGAATTGGGTCATGCGAACTGCCTGGAACTGTTCTGTTGTGGAAGACGTGGCGATGGGCAAATATTTCTTGTCGCCATATCTCACATCGCCGTTCTCCTCTTCGAAATTCGAAACCTGCGAAAGTGAAGCAATTGCACAACGTTGGAAGGGTCAATATACAATGACATGTTGTGACATTCCAGCACAACTGCCACTTCCATGTCCCATGAAATCAAAAAAACACATGGGTGCAAATGACGTTTCAGTTTGCAGTCGTTCAATGCAATTGTGTCTTGTTAAAACTTAAGCGTGGCCGAGAGGCCTGCGCATGTTCGGTCAGTGGAGCACAAATGCTGGCATTTTTCCTTTGAAATGCCGCCGCGTACTTCTCCTTCCACGGGCACTGTACGAAAGTCCTGCGTACTTCACATCTGTGACTTTGTTGTGACACACCATGACAAAGTACCAAAAAATCATTTGATGAAAATTGTTCGATACACAGAGTTCAAACACTGAACTGAAACCTGGTCCTGAACGGAAGATCGGCACACAGTTCCAAAACCCAAGCTCACAAACTCGTCGGACTTCGTTTGCGACACCGTTTCAAGCAATATCGCCTCAGTTTTCTGGTTCTACTGGGCCCCTATATAATATGTTTCCTGTCTTCAATTTTTTGACGAAAAAATACATCACCTGGAGCAAACGAGTCGCAGGTGAAGATGTGTGAACAAACGGTCGCCACTGACAAGACCACCAAACAAGCACAAAGCATGGAAACGCGGTCACTGCCTCAGGAAAGAACTCCAAACAACAACATCAAAGGTTAAAAAATGATTACGATCAATCGAAATCAGTGTTTCGGTTTGAATCTTTGCAGGCATCGTGGAACATCTAAAAATTGCGCTAAGACATGTCCGATTGATTCAATTCGCCAAGGTTCTAGCACAACTCCACGAAACCAAATTTGGCCTGTGTATGGTGAGATCGTCGGCTCACTCCCGGTGTTCATGTCATGGAAACGTCCATGCCGCTGGCAAGACAGGTTGCCAAATTGCAAGTTGTGGAACCAATTCAAGTGGGTATCCTTCAAATTCGTTTGAATTCTTGTGCCACCAATCATTGAAGATTTTCATGTTGATCGAACAATTCATAAACACATTTGCACATTTTGCGTCTGTAAAAAGGTGTTTTTGGTGCTGAACGATGCAACGAAACCCGCCAAACCCAAACATGTCGTTGTTGGATGGTTCATATCTGCATAACTTTGAAGTTGTCCAATTCATTGCACGCACTGAACGAAAAATATTGACAAACTGCCTGTTTTCCCTTGAAAGGAAACGCCTCAAGATGTGTTTCTTTTGCTTGAGATACAAGTGCTTCACGATAAGAACTGATACTACACTGATCAACTCTATGTGACATGGGATACAACACACGTGAAACTACCACTGCACAACTGACGATAATATGTTGCACCCCGCTTTGATGCATGTGACAACCAAAATTTCGTGAGCACTATGCTACCATGCAAAAACTGAAAGTTGAAACTTCGAGTGGTTTCAGATGATTGCTGCTGGGGCGCTCAGTGGCTTGCCACTACTTGCATGACTCCTTGAAGTCCATCCAAAGCTCACATCACAAAAGAATCGGTTTGAACTAGGATGATCTCCACTTCATGGCTCTGTTTCGGAACTGCTGCTCTGGCCATGGGAGTACACCATCCATTCTTCTGGATCGCTAATTTCGCACGTTGCACTTGACATATATCTGCGGGCACGTTCGCTCTGAGTTTCTGCGAATTTTTCTGGAACCGCAAGCGCCTCAGAATTCATCCTGATGTACACTACTCGATTTGTGCTGTGTCATGTGCACAACTACATGACTGACATGCAAATGCACACAACTGCAAATGCGGAAATGACTTTCACCCCGCCCTGATATTAGAATATTTCTAAATATCACTGTGGCTACGACTCCGCAGGTCATTTGTTTGACCTTCGCATCTCCTTTATTGGAGTCTTTTGAAAGGTGAAGCCAAGTATGCTTCAAACTATAGGCACTGGAGCCACTTGCTAGGCATCATACCCAACAGGTGACACTCTTCAGGTGGTGCCTTTTTCCTCGCTCAGATTTTCTCAGAACTCCGTCAGTCCACTGTCGTCCATGGGTGGTTCCGGCTCATCCTCTCTGTCGGCCGGACCATAGTTGACATCTGCCCAGCAATCTGGGCCTGAAGCTTCCGACTGTCCGCACTCAGTGTACCTCCGTGCTTTCTGTGATTGGGTTTCTTCCGGCATGCTTTCGTCTGAGCTTTGCGGCCTGATCTCCCGCATCGCTCAACCCAGTTGGTTCACCAGCCTTGTCACTTCCTCGAAGCGATCATACTCCAGGAGGTTCATGATGCTTTTGAAGGCTTTGTCAGCCTCCACCAAGGCGTGGTTTTTCTCATCTTCTCCAAGTCCATGTTGTGGTGACTCGTCGTCATCACTCAAGTTGCTCGCCATGCGGGTTCTCTCGACTGGAGAACAGTCTGCGTAGTAAGAAACGCAGCTGAGCAACCAAGTTCTGCTTTGCATGTACTTCATGGACTGTCCATTATTTCCCTGCCTTTGGGCTCGTTCGAGCCTCCCGTTGATCCTCTTCAAAGCTACCAACAGCATGCGCTCAGTCTGAAGATCCTCGTGCACTTCGGGCTCTGCAGCTCCTGTTTGAACTGAAAAGTCTGTTGGAGGGAAATGCACTGGCATGATTGGCCTGCGAAGCCAGTACCACGTGTATTCCCCAAGCGCCATTGTCCACAAGGTCAGCACAAGTGTTGTGAAAGAAACCATGTCACCTTCAGAAGACTTCGAGTTCACAATGTCGCAACCACACAAGTTCACCATGTCGCAACGGAAAGCCTCGAGTTCATGGCAACCTGGTGTCCACCTGTATTGACTGTGGGAGAATCTTCATCACTTGAAAGGTCAGTGATATCCTCCAAGACTTGTTGAACTTGTTCTCGAGTCTCAGTTGTGGCCACTTCAAGAAGGGCCAACATGTCGGACAAAATGCCCTGTCGAGCCAGATATTGGTTTGTCTTCATAGGATCCTGGCTCCTTACTGTCTTCTCAAGTCTTCTCTCGCATCGATCGTACAGCCAATGTATCATGCCCTCTTGAGACCATGCTGGGCAATCAGATGAGGTTTCTGTAGCCTCGGAACTGTTGTCGCAAGGGTCATCTCCAGCGCTGTTGCTTGAAGCTGTATCAGTGGGCACAAAATCAAACTTTTCAAGGGTTCTCCAGGGCGGATGGCCAGGTAGATGTAGCCAGCCAACCCAAGCAGCCATGTGATCAAAAACACGACGATGAAGTTTCCTCCATGCGTCACCGCGTCCATGGCACCGGAACACCCTTGAAGCTGGGTCAGCACGCTCAAGGCGTTAATCAAAAGGTTGACCTGTGCCTGGCTGTAGCCCTGTTGTCTTTGATTTGTGACGTGTCTGAAGATGTTCCCTGGGTCAGTTGCTCCTTCAAGATTGTTTCCTCTCCAAATACCCAAAAAGTAGCATAACGACTCAAGCCTTGCTGCGCTGAGTCTTTTCGTGGCAACATCTGCAGGATTCAATGCTCCCACCACTGATCTCACCAGCAAACGTTTTTGCATGACTAAATCCTGCACCCACAAAATTCTGCATGACAAATGTCTCACAAGACCTACACCTTTGCGAGAAAGAACACCTCTTGCAGCTGATGAATCCAAGTACAATCACATTATAAACTGACATCGAAGAAGCCATGAAAAGATGGTTGTGATCAAGATCGCATCTAGTTGCCGACGCAGCTGCATATGTTTCTGGCTCTGCGCTCGAAAGTGACACGATTTTCTGCGTCCTGGAGCTTGAGTAAGCCAGACAACCACCAACGTAGATTGCAGATCCCGAGACAGAGCGTCTTGTTTCTCTGTCTGCTGCCCAGTCAGCATCGCTGATAATTTCCACCATCGGCTCCTCGTTCTCATACTGTTTGAAAACACCAGAATGCAAACCTTTCAATTTCAAAGACATGCGCTGGTCGAAGTGTGCTGCGATATAGCCAACCAGGTGCTTCAGCACCATCAGGGATTTCTCAGTTGGCTTCGAAGAGAAAGTGGATAGGTATCGAATCACATACTGACATTGTGGCAGGTCAGCTGACAAGTAAAGAAGAATCCCCACGCATGTGCGGTACATTGAAGCATCATGGAAACTGAGCTCTGCAGGCTTGTCGGGAATTTCCATCTCGCTATGACCTGGGAGCTCTCTTAAAAAACCGGGGGGCGGCAGCTCATTTTTGGAGCTCTCCCCAGCCAGGCTCCGGCCTCACCTTCCCAAACGGGCCCGAATCAGAACCTCCCCCCCCCCACACCCCCCAGATTAGCTTCGCTTCGCTTATACCTATACTCAGCACAGGACTTCGGCTGGCTTTCGTATATATATATATATAGATATATATATATATATATGTGTGTATATATATATATACATATCCCGACAGGTTTGGTACGGTTTGGCTAGTTGACTTCAATTGCTCTCCCAACAATCCGTACAACGCCTCATCATCTGCCACTTGTGCAATACTCAGTACCGGCTTACATCAGATGGCTCATCATTAATCATCCGCCAGAACTTTTTGGGACACTACAAGGAATGACAGCCCTACTAGGATAAGCTCGAGAAGTGTGGATATCTGTTTCCTAATTTCATCCAATGCCAATGCTGCCGGCACATGTTTTTCTTCCTTTTCAGAAATCCACAGCAGGTTATGTTGTCGGGGAAGGCTTTATGGCCCAGAGATGCTCGAGATAAATGCGCATATAAATGCGCATATTGCTGCACATTCTTCTTGTGAATTGCTCCCATCTACAGCACTGTTGAAGAAGTGCCACTGCAACCTGTCTCTCATTCTTCGCATTGGCTCACCGGTATCCAAGAAGAGTCCCCTCTGCAAATGTCAAAGACAAGGATGAACTCCGAAATGACCTGCTTCAACAAAAACGTGACAGAGACACGTCCGAAATTCCGGCTCTTGCAAATCAAGGAAACTTTGAAGATGGGAACGAGACTTAAAACATCCATTGAAATCTGGAAATCCCAATACCCATTGAATCGGTTGAATTTGACAGAAACGCAAAATATCATGGAACTGGATCCAGGGCCACTTCAGCTGCAATGTACCTCCATCAGGGTCACGCCAGCCATTTGGATCAGACCTGACAAACAATGCATCGATTGCCCAGCTTCACTCTGGTCAAACCAGATTTGAGGTGATCGCTATAGGACCATAGAACAGTTTCCACAGGCAGAATCATCCAAGAGAAAAGAGGTGAAAGGATCGAAAGGGGACATTCAAGCACCGAAACATTACCCGACATGACTCAGAAACCCAGGAATGTTGTAGTACCTTGCGTCAATCAGACAAAGCAAAAAAAATGTGTACCATGAGCCCTCCCGAAGCCTTTGTCATGCCCAAGGACGCTCGAAGTAGCAGCAAACCTTCAAAGGACGAATGTCGAGTAATCAATAAGTTTCTTTGTTCAAAGTCTGAAAAGAGTCAAGACGAATCAAGATCAAGATCAATCAAGATCAATCAAGATGAATCAAAGCAACTTCGAGGTCACGACCCAAGTTGGCATTGTCTTTTACCTGCGCTCCTCCCGAAGCCTTTGTCATGCCCAAGGACGCTCGAAGTAGCAGCAAACCTTCAAAGGACGAATGTCGAGTAATCAATAAGTTTCTTTGTTCAAAGTCTGAAAAGAGTCAAGACGAATCAAGATCAATCAAGATCAATCAAGATAAATCAAGATCAATCAAGATCAATCAAGATGAATCAAAGCAACTTCGAGGTCACGACCCAAGTTGGCATTGTCTTTTACCTGCGCTCCTCCCGAAGCCTTTGTCATGCCCAAGGACGCTCGAAGTAGCAGCAAACCTTCAAAGGACGAATGTCGAGTAATCAATAAGTTTCTTTGTTCAAAGTCTGAAAAGAGTCAAGACGAATCAAGATCAATCAAGATCAATCAAGATCAATCAAGATGAATCAAAGCAACTTCGAGGTCACGACCCAAGTTGGCATTGTCTTTTACCTGCGCTCCTCCCGAAGCCTTTGTCATGCCCAAGGACGCTCGAAGTAGCAGCAAACCTTCAAAGGACGAATGTCGAGTAATCAATAAGTTTCTTTGTTCAAAGTCTGAAAAGAGTCAAGACGAATCAAGATCAATCAAGATCAATCAAGATCAATCAAAGCAACTTCGAGGTCACGACCCAAGTTGGCATTGTCTTTTACCTGCGCTCCTCCCGAAGCCTTTGTCATGCCCAAGGACGCTCGAAGTAGCAGCAAACCTTCAAAGGACGAATGTCGAGTAATCAATAAGTTTCTTTGTTCAAAGTCTGAAAAGAGTCAAGACGAATCAAGATCAATCAAGATCAATCAAGATGAATCAAAGCAACTTCGAGGTCACGACCCAAGTTGGCATTGTCTTTTACCTGCGCTCCTCCCGAAGCCTTTGTCATGCCCAAGGACGCTCGAAGTAGCAGCAAACCTTCAAAGGACGAATGTCGAGTAATCAATAAGTTTCTTTGTTCAAAGTCTGAAAAGAGTCAAGACGAATCAGATCAATCAAGATCAATCAAGATGAATCAAGGCAACTTCGAGGTCACGACCCAAGTTGGCATTGTCTTTTACCTGCGCTCCTCCCGAAGCCTTTGTCATGCCCAAGGACGCTCGAAGTAGCAGCAAACCTTCAAAGGACGAATGTCGAGTAATCAATAAGTTTCTTTGTTCAAAGTCTGAAAAGAGTCAAGACGAATCAAGATCAAGATCAATCAAGATCAATCAAGATGAATCAAAGCAACTTCGAGGTCACGACCCAAGTTGGCATTGTCTTTTACCAGCGCTCCTCCCGAAGCCTTTGTCATGCCCAAGGACGCTCGAAGTAGCAGCAAACCTTCAAAGGACGAATGTCGAGTAATCAATAAGTTTCTTTGTTCAAAGTCTGAAAAGAGTCAAGACGAATCGAGATCAATCAAGATCAATCAAGATGAATCAAGATCAATCAAGATCAATCAAGATGAATCAAAGCAACTTCGAGGTCACGACCCAAGTTGGCATTGTCTTTTACCTGCGCTCCTCCCGAAGCCTTTGTCATGCCCAAGGACGCTCGAAGTAGCAGCAAACCTTCAAAGGACGAATGTCGAGCAATCAACAAGTTTCTTTGTTCAAAGTCTGAAAAGAGTCAAGACGAATCAAGATCAATCAAGATCAATCAAGATCAATCAAAATGAATCAAGGCAACTTCGAGGTCACGACCCAAGTTGGCATTGTCTTTTACCTGCGCTCCTCCCGAAGCCTTTGTCATGCCCAAGGACGCTCGAAGTAGCAGCAAACCTTCAAAGGACGAATGTCGAGTAATCAATAAGTTTCTTTGTTCAAAGTCTGAAAAGAGTCAAGACGAATCGAGATCAATCAAGATCAATCAAGATGAATCAAGGCAACTTCGAGGTCACGACCCAAGTTGGCATTGTCTTTTACCTGCGCTCCTCCCGAAGCCTTTGTCATGCCCAAGGACGCTCGAAGTAGCAGCAAACCTTCAAAGGACGAATGTCGAGTAATCAATAAGTTTCTTTGTTCAAAGTCTGAAAAGAGTCAAGACGAATCAAGATCAATCAAGATCAATCAAGATCAATCAAGATCAATCAAGATGAATCAAAGCAACTTCGAGGTCACGACCCAAGTTGGCATTGTCTTTTACCTGCGCTCCTCCCGAAGCCTTTGTCATGCCCAAGGACGCTCGAAGTAGCAGCAAACCTTCAAAGGACGAATGTCGAGTAATCAATAAGTTTCTTTGTTCAAAGTCTGAAAAGAGTCAAGACGAATCAAGATCTTTTTTTTCCGTCCAACGCCTTCATGGCTTCCGCCAGGTCGTTCAACACGTTCAAGTGCATGTTGCAAAAATAGGGGTAAATTAATTAATTAAAGCATACACATGGCCATCTGCAGGTTGAGGGGCCTCAAGAGTGAACTGGTAAGGACCTGTACACAGTCCAGTAGGTCGTCACGAAGTCACCACAAACAAACCAAAACGAAAACCAAAAGCAAAAAACCCAGCAAACAAAACACAAAAAGCAAAAACACACAACAAACCAAACAAGCGACGACGTGACCGGTGCCAGTTCGTGGGTTAATTAATGCAAGAGGTGATAACATTATATCATCTCGTCATGGTATGGCAGCAGAAACAAAGGGAAAAATGTCTCGGCTAGCCACTGTATGGTGTGTTCATGCAACCACAGGGTTGTCCTCCACAATGGAA